GGTAAGGGGGTGCTGCCTGGCCCCCGTCATGGCGTCTGCGCGCAGCTCAGGATAGAGGTGTCCCGTGCGGAGACCCCGAGGCCCAGGTCCCTGCAGACAGAAGGCCCGAGCACAGAGCCCGCTGCGGCGACGACAGCCCCCGGAGGACTCGGTCCCGCCCGGAGGCCACCTGGGAATGACCAGCTCCGCACTTCCAGGCAGGAAGCCGGCCCCCTGCCTTGCCCCGAGCGGAGAGCGGAGTCGATGACGGCTTCGTAGTGCCTCTGCCCTGTGCCAAGAGCCAGCTGCGGTCTGCACGCCGCGTTGACCTCAGTATGTCACCGTCGGGAGGGAGCACGCGGAACCCCCGCCGTCATCGCTGGAGTCCTTGTTCGCTCAGGGAGGGAGTCCCCAGAGAGGAGTCACGGGAGAGAAACTGTCGCTAAAGGCTGGTCGCGTTAGTTTACTTAGTGCCTCTGTGCCCCAGGAAGGGAGCCCCCTGGAAAGGTGGGACGGCCCCTCGTGGCTGGGCTGGCACTGGCGGGGGGACCTGGCTCGCAGCTGCCGGGGCGGGGGCTTTGAGGAGTGGGGGCCTCAGACCGGGAGGAAGGTGTGTGTCTGGGCCCTACAGAGCCTCCCCCCAGGGAAGGACCCAGGGCAGCCTCGGAGGGGTTACGAGGCCCAGGTTACAAGGGCACAGCTCCTTGGTGGCCCGAGGCCCCTGGTCTGAAACCCCTCACCAGCGTCTGCATACTGAAAACAGGCATAGCGCGTTGCACGGGCCTTGGGACGGGATCGCGTGTCCACGCGTGTTCACAGCCAGCCCACGGCCCGCCTGCCTCATGATTGCCACATGGTGGAACTTGGCTGTGAGTTGACTTTTCACAGGCGGGTGACGTGGCGGGGGATTCTGGGGCAGCCGCCTTAAGGAAAACGTGGTTTCCTGTTCAGGATGCTGGGGGCCGGGTCTGGATGGAGGAGGGACGGGGTCGCCGTGACCTTCACGCGAGGCGAAGATCCGCAGAGGCGACGGGGGCGTGTGTGGGTGTGGGGTTCAGAGGAGCGGACGGGAAACCGCCGTGACCTTGACTGGACCGCTCCCAGGAGCAAGGCTGTGAGGACGGCAGCCCTCTCCTCTGTCTTCCCTCAAGAGCAGGCCCGTCCCCACGAGAAGCTCCCTGGTCCCTTGAGGTGGGCACGCAGCACGGTCACCGCACACGCTCGCCGGTGGCCCTTGGGAGGAGGGGCTCTCCCCCTGCGGAGGGCCAACCCCGCAGCGCTGGGCTTACATTTCCACGGAGACGCCCCGCGAGGTTCCCCCCCGTCACACCCTGAGCCTCCGTGGAGCACCGGGGTCCTGAGGAGGGGCCACAGGCCCTGCAGGCTCACGGGAGGGCGGAGGCCCAGGTGTCCCACGGTCAGGGGTCTGAGTCCTCCCAGAGGAGAGCCCAGGGCCCCCCCTGCTCTGGGACAAACCCACCCCCAAGGGGACGAGGGCGGCAGCGGCAGGGCTCGTGGATGGAGCCAGTTCACACAGGGGGGTTCTCAGGGACCCAGGAGGCTGGGGCTCCCAGCTGATCAGCTGTTCGGGCCACGGACCCCTGATCACCCGAGACCCCCTTGCTTCCCCCGAGCAGGTGCTGTGGGTTCAGGGTGCGGCAGGTTTGAGTACTCGGGTCAGGGTCCGCAGGAAGCCGGTGCAAGGCTGGGGGTGGCCGGGGCCCGAAGCGAGGGGGCCGCTGGACCAGACACAGACAGCCGTCAGACGCTAGTGGCCGGTCCTGGGGCACCGGCCGCTGGTCCCACTCCCACGGGGCCCCTCCCCCACCACTGGTGTCCCCCCCAGCCAGTGAGCCCCGTGTCGCTGGGCCTGTGTGAGGACGTGCGTGTCACTGCCCACCTGCCGGTGTGTGGACGCCATGTCTTTGCCGGCTCCTCCTTGAGTCAGGCTGGGTCCTGACGCTGTCACAGACGGTGACACAGACGGGGTCCTCCCTCGGGCTGCTGGGGGCTGGGGCCTGAGTCGGGGAACCTTGGGTGAATGCAGACTTAGAAGCTTGTGTGTTTATTGGGGTCATGTTTGCTGAGCCCTTCTCTGTGGACCTGGGTCACCTCTGGATCCCCTCCCAGCACCCCGAGGACCCGTGTTACCCCGACAAGAAAGGGCAAGACCCGTGAGAGAGAGTGACAGAGGCCAAGTTAGATGCGGCAGTGTCGGGGTCCTCGGGGAATGGTGTCTGGGTCAGGACCAAGGCTGAGGGGCACCAGCCGGTACCAAGGCCCTGGGGTGGGGTCAGGCCGTGGGCGTTCGAAGCCCCAAAGGAAGGTCCCTGTGGCTCGAACCCAGTGAGCAGAGATGGGAGGGCAGAGGGACACGAAGCTGGAGATCGGGGTGGGGGCTGTGGGGGGAGGACTCTTGGGTGCGTTTTAGTCACGAGCCTCATGGGAAGACTTAGGCTTTGGGAGGCCCTCTGACTGCTGTTTGGAGCCCGATTGGAGGGGGTGAGGGGAGCTGGGGGGCCAGTTAGGCTCAAGTGTGGGAGCTGAGGTGAGAAAAGTAGATGGATTCGGGGTGCCTCCAGGAAGGACCCCAGCACGTGTGTGGGTATGGCCTCGTGCCCCTGTGCCTGGCCCCACACTCACGAACAGGGAGCCAGGCTGAGGGGGAGTGGGGGAGGGGGAGGGGGAGGGGGAGGCTTCCTCGCGCCTGGACTGGGGACTCTGCCCCTGTCACCTGCCTCCCGGGCTGCTCCCCACTCTTTGCCTGGCCCAGGCTGGACCCTGCTCCTCTAACTCAGTGTCCCCAAGGCCCTAGAAGAGCCACCCCTTTCCTTGTTTGTAATCCTCACCCGAGGATGTTCCACTGATCTAGGGTGGAGGGAAGGGACAGAGAAACAAATGTAGACGTGTGACAGAAACATCGACCGGCTGCCTCCCATGTGCACCCCCACTGGGGATCGAACCCGGAACCTGGGTGTGTGCCCTGCCCGGGAATTGAACCAGCAACCTTTCGCTGTGTGGGGCGACGCTCCAGCCCACTGAGCCACACGGTCAGGGCGCCGCCCCTTCTCTCTGATCTCCCCTGTGTGAGGCAGGCACCCCGTTCTCTGGGTCCGGCCACTCGGCCATGGGAGGGCTGCGGGGCTTCAGACCGTGGCTGATGGGAGCCAGGCAGGGCAGCCTCGGGAGTTGGGCAGCCCTCCCGGCCCCTGCTGGGGAGGGTCGGGGAGGGTCATCTCGGAAGGGGCCGCGGGGGTTGGCGGGGCCCTGGGAAGAAGCTGAGGTGCAGGCGAGGACCCGGGAGGACTGGAGCACTCCAAATATTTACCGAGTGAACGTCCCAGCATTCAGCAAAGCTAAATATTTTCCCTTGGTTAGTGACAAAATCCGGCCAGTCACGCACTCCCCAGCTGGGACCAGGGCTGTGTGGGCACCTCCCTTCCCCCTGGGGCGCCGCCCGCCAGGGACGGGCCCTCTGACCGCAGGCCTCGCCCGTTGGGTCCCCCCAGGGGCTGTGACACCAGGTCCTGCCGCTCACCCACAGCGGCTCCTGTGCGCCGGCCGGTATCTGGGGCCTCGGCCTGAATTTCAGTCTTGGGCTCGGCCCTGGTCCCCAGGTCTGCTGGGTCACTCTGAGCACCTCGCTGTCCCCCCCGGGCGAGTGCAGTTGTGACCGTGACCCGCAGGGAGGACAGTGCTGGCCAGCCTGCAGCCCTGGCCACTGGTCAGCCCTCACCCAGGGCCCCACCCTCACCCGATTGTGCTGAATGAACTGGTCCCGGGCTAGGTCTCGGGAATGCCTCCCAGGACTCCAGCAAAGTGGCTTTCCTGAGAATTTCAGCCCCAGATCGCGCTGGTCTGTGACCTCACAGGGACCACGGCCACCGTAGGCCACGTTCCGCCGACGGCAGGGTGGAAATAGTGCTTAGATGACCCTTGGCCACCCTGGACCCCAGCCGGCGTCCTGCCCTCCCCGCCGCGGGGTCTGCGCCTTGACCTCCAGGGGCATCTGCCTTCCTTGGCCCCCCTCCAGCTTCAGAGTCAGCAGGAGACATCTTCCAGGCTCTCTCTGACCTCTGACCCTTCTCTGACGAATTTACACGATCTGGGTAATCCGGGATACGCTCCTGTCTCAAGATCCTTAACTTCGTCGCATTTGCAAAGTCCCTCTGTCCATGTGAGGTCACACAGTCCCAGGGATCAGGCTGTGGACCTCGGGGGGGCCATTGCTCAACTCTCCACTTCCTTTGTTTTATTTATTTTGAACTATGTTTTTATTGACTTTGGAGAGGGAGGGGGAGGGATAAAGAGATAGAAACATCGATGAGAGAGAACATCGACTGGCCGCCTCCTGCACGCCCCCCACTGGGGATCGGGCCCACACCCTGGGCCTGTGCCCTGACTGGGAATTGAACGGGTGACCTCCTGGTGCAGGGTCGACCCTCAACCACTGAGCCACACCGGCCGGGACACTCACTCCATTGGAAATGACAACTACTTGGCATTGGTGTCCACGCTCCTAGAACAAGTGTCAGGCCCCCCGCCTGCCCCCAGGGCTCTGCGCACCTCCCCCATCTCATCTGTGCGTCCCCGGCCCCAGCCCCGGGGCCTTGCAGAGCTGTGCCCCCGCCTGCCCGTGCACCCCGGGCGCCCAGTCACACCTTCTGGGTGAGGCTCTAGGAGGCCTCTGTCCTGCTGTGCTGGGCCGAGGGCATCAGCTCCCCAGCTGGCCGAGCTGGCTGCCTGCCCCTCCCAGGGCCATGGGGGTGCGCTGCATGTTGGCGATGTCCTGGGGTCCCTTCCTCGGGGGCATCCTGCGGGGGTGTGGTTGGTGAGATGCCGCTTGCGGTCTGTGTTTACCCCTTTTATTCGGTCAAGGGGTCCTCACCCTTGCTGTGCCCCGGTTACTAGTCCCACCTGTGGGGGTCCCCCGGAGAGCAGGCTGCCTTCTCCCGGGGGGCTCGGTGCCCGTGCGGTCGGAGGGGCAGGGCCCCGTGTGGTCACCGGCTTCTCCCCCACAGAGGAGGAACTCCGGAAGCTGCGCGAGGAGACCAACTCGGAGCTGCTGCGGCAGGAGCTGGACCGGGAGCGGCAGCGGCGGATCGAGCTGGAACAGAAGGTTCAGGAGGTGCTGAAGGCCAGGTGAGGGGCTGTGGGGCCGGGTGAGGGGGCGCAGAGCCGGGAGAGGGGGCGCGGGGCCGGGTGAGGGGGCGCGGGGCCAGGTGAGGGGGCACAGGGCTGGGCGGATGTGCCCTGGCCGGGTGGGGGTGCTGGGGGTGCTCTCAGCCCCGACTGGGCTGCTGTCTGCTGGCACTGTCATCCACACACCCCCAGGGGTGCACCTCTCTCTGGTGCACAGCACGTTTGTGTCCTACTTTCCCTGGGGGCCACGCTGGGGGCCACGTTAGGGGCCGTGTGCCTGGTCTCCTACAGGGTCTGCCCTGTTCCCCACCAGCCTCGCTCCGGGCTTTCGTCCTTCCTTCTTCCCAAGCCCCTGGGTGCTCGGCCCGCATCGGTTCTGAGGACACAGGGGCCCGTCTCCCATGGTCGGCTTGGGGGCCGGCGGGGGTGCAGGAAAGGGTCGTGAGGCCTGAGGCATCTGAGGGTCGGAACCTGCAGGACACTGAGAGGGGAGCTGCAGGGAGGAGCGGGTTCCAGGGACGTGACCTCCAGCCCCCCGTCCCCCTGGCGCCTGCCGGGGGCAGTGGGCTGGGCAGGGCGGGCAGCGTGTGGCACGCGTGTGGCACACACAGGATGCACACACATCGCAAGCGCACACCCCCCCAGGCTACAGGTGGCTGCAGGGTTAGAGCAAGGGAATGTTCACACAAGCCTCTGCTTTGTTTTCTATTTTATTTTATTTTCGTCAGTCCTCGCCCAAGGGTATTTTTTCCATTGAAGTTTAGAGAGAGTGGAGGAGGTGAGGGCAGAGACAGAGAGGGGCAGACAGACACTGATGTGAGAGATGCATTGAGTGGTTGCCTCCCGCGCACACCCCAACGGGGGCCGGGGATGAAACCCGCAACCCAGGATGTGCCCTTGACGGGAATCCAGCCCGAGACCCTCAGCTGGCAGGTCGACACGCTGACCACCGAGCCACGCTGGCCAGGGTCTCTTGTTTAAGAAAATGCCCGGGACTCCTCAGTTGAAGCTCACCCATGAAGGCAAGGCTGCCTTCTTCACTGCTGGGCCCGTGGCTGCCCCCCCCACCGGTGGGTTTTCCTCTTGGGGTCCCCTCCCTCCGGCTGTGTAGGGGCCGCGGTTCTCTGCTGCACCAGTACACGGTGTCGTGGCCGTGGCTGAGGGCGCCTGTGGGGACGAAATGGACCCTGGTGACCAGTGCCCCCAGCCTGCGGAGGGGTGCGCGTCACGGGGCCTGCCACGGGCCTGCCGTGGACGCCTGCGGCGTGGGATCAGGGAGCATCAGAGTTCAGCCGTCGGGAAACGTCCCACTCCTACGTGTTTGGCGGGTCGTTCTCAGCGCAGGTCGCAGAATCCCCGGGAAGCTCAGCGCTGAAATGCAGGCCCGTGTGGCCCCGTGTGGCCCGTGTGGCCCGTGTGGCCGAGGGCGCGAGGGGTTTGTGGTGCTCGCACCAGGAGCCACGTGGGACCCGGCGGGACCGGCTGGGCAGCCCTTCCTGTCTCACTGCAGGCCCGTCTCCTTTCCACGTTCAAACCCTCGCTGGGGCCCTGTGCCCTCAGGGCAGTTCTGAGAGTCCCCGTGTGACCGGAGTGGGGGAGGGAGCTCCCTGCCACCAGAACAGCAGCCGAGTCTCCGCCTTCTCTCCCTGAGGGCAGCTTGCAGCCCATTACTATTAAGTACCTGCTGCTTTCTAGCAGCTAATTGTGTCGGAAAAAGCACACAGCCCGCCTGTGACTGTGCAAATTAATGGTAATAATAATTTACCGTGCAAATACATGCTAACGAGCATCCTAGGAAGCCCGCACCTACCACTCAGACAGGGCCACCTGTGGCTTGGCGAGGTCCTCACGGTGCACACCTGGGCCCACCTGTGGCTTGGCGAGGTCCTCACGGTGCACACCTGGGCACACCTGTGGCTTGGCGAGGTCCTCACGGTGCACACCTGGGCCCACCTGTGGCTTGGCGAGGTCCTCACGGTGCACACCTGGGCACACCTGTGGCTTGGCAGGTCCTCACGGTGCACATCTGGGCCCACCTGTGGCTTGGCGAGGTCCTCACGGTGACACCTAAGCTCAGGTGCCGCTGGGAACAGTTTGTCAGTGCTTCCTGTGTGAGCTGTCCCTTCCTGAACCACCAGGCTCGCTCAGGGAACATCCTGCTCCAGAGCCCTGGACGCCTGCCCAGGAATGGAGGGGACCCGGCTGGGGTCCTGGAGTCTCCGGTGTGCCCTGGGCTCCCCTTCTGTCCTGCTGAAGGCCCACTGAGTCAGTGTGGGGGGGTGGCGTGGAGGCCGGCTTCTCCCTCAGCACGCTGGTTCCCCGGGACACCCCTTCATCTCGTCTCCTGCGTCCATGGCTTTGCGCTCACCCTGCTGGTCTCTTGTCCAGCTCGGCTGTGCTTCCTGCTTCAGGCTACGGTTTCGGGTCACAGTCCTGGGTTGGCTTATGGAAATGTTGGGGTGAACTACGTTATGTGGACAAAGCCGAATCCGCATCCCCTCCTCCCCAAGCGGAGGGTTTCCCGGCCCTACTGTCCCTGTTCCGAAGGCCTCTGCACCCCCAGGCCCCAAGGAGGTTTGCCTGGAGCTAACCCTTTCCCTCGTCCCAGGGTCCCTGCCGGACGGGGCGCTGGGAACCGCGGGAACAGCACTGCCCAGGCCTGCACAGACTGAGGGCCCCGGTGGGCAGGCTGTGGCACGGCGGAGGGTGTAGGCCGGCCAGGGCACCAGGACAGGTGCCGCCTGGGGGACGGGGCCGGGCCAGCTGCTGCGTCCAGCTCCGTCAGGGCCTGGTCAGGACCTGGTGACTCCGGGGGAGGCTCTGAGCGGGGACCACTGGGATCGGGGTGGCCGGCGGCAGGGACAGGCAGCCGGGCAGGAGGTGGGGCTGGGACTTGGGCCGGGGCGGGGCTTCCCCACCCTGTGGCTTTGCATGGTGTTTGGTGACTCTGAGTTAAACATCTAGTGCCGGCCACCTCACTGACAGTGTGGTTACATATCCCAAGTTGAACAGTGAAGAAGTGAATGTACGCCCTGGCCAGTTTCGCTCAGTGGTTAGAGTGTCAGCCCGCGGACCCGAGTCCTGGGTTCGGTTCCCGCCAAGGGCACGTACCTCGGTTGCCGTTTGTCCCTGGCCCCGGTTGGGGTCATGTGGGTGGCGACCAGTCGATGTGTCCCTTTCACATCGATGTTTCTCTCTCTTCCTCCCTCTCTCCCTCCCGCTCTATCTGAAGATAAATGCAGAAACAATGTCCTCGGGTGAGGATTAAAAAAAAAAAGGAGTAAATGTGTGGAGACTAGGGAAGAAAAGAGGTGCGTGGTCAGGAGCATGTGTCCATTGGGTCGTTAGGAGGCGAGTGGGGCCTGCAGCCCGGGCGGCGAGGGTCCCACAGGAGCCCACCGCCGGTGGCGCGAACACTGGGCCGCGCAGCACCCCTCCCTCTGCGCTGGGGCCCCAGTCCCGGCCCGCCCGAGTCGGAACCAGTAGACATCTCCTCCTTCCCTCTTCCAGGACTGAGGAGCAGGCGGCTCAGCAGCCCCCCAAGAGCCAGGCCCAGCTCACGAACGGAGCAGGTAGGCCCCGCGGGCCCCCGCCGGGTGGTGGGGGGCGTAGGTCCTGTTCCAGGGCTCGGGCTCGTAGCCGGGGTCTCCGCCCGTCGGGAGCGGGGTGTGTCTTACTGGGAATTGGTGAGTCGTGGTGATAAACGCACCCCATTCCGTCAGCACATGGTCATATTTCTCAGACACCTTCACAGAGGAGCGGGGTCCTAGTCACACTGGCTGCGTGGCCGCTGGCCTGGCCGCCGTGGCCAGGGGCGGGTCCTGTCTAGAGGCTGAGTGGGAGGCGAGGACGGCCGTGGACGGCGCGTGCCCCCCCAGGCGGGGCCCAGCACCCTGCCCCCTGCACACGTCTTCCTGCCCCCGCTCCCGCTCCCTCACTTCCTACACTGCCCTGCAGAGGGCGCCGTGAGGACGCCGGGTTCCATCTGGCTGCCTAGGGGCCTCTCCCCTTGTGCTCGCACCCGGGACCCATTCCCAAAGCCTGGCCATTCGCGGGAGGCCCCTACCCAGGCCGGTGGCGCTCAGAGAGGCACCCAGGAAAGGCTGCAGGTTTAAGCCCTGAGGCCTGGGGGCAGGCCTCTCACAGGGCAGCCGCCAGACCGAGGTTTGGACCAGAGCCCCAGCCGCCTCTCCCCGGCCCAGGTCAGGGCTGCCCTCCTTGCCTCCCAGCGGGAAGCTGGGGGGTGCCCTCCCCTGGGTCCCCGGTGCTGGACTCCCAGGCTGGCCTCTCTGGGTTCTCGGGAGCCGGCGGCCCAGGTCCCCAGCCCGGAGCGGCCATGAGACCCAGGAACCCCGCTGTGCGTGGTGGTGATGAGCCTTCTGCGGGTGTGGGCCGTGTCACAGAAGTGTAAGGGGCGAGACCCCAATTCCATGTGTCCCCGCAGCTCTGGCCCCTGCCTAGGCCCAGCCTCCAGCCGAGTCCATTGTGGTAGCATTGGTCACTGGGCAGGGCTCTGTGCGGGGGCGGGAAGGAGGCAGGGGCCCCACCAAGTGCAGCCCCAGCGGTAGGGAGGTGGGGACGGGTGCTCTGTGTGCGGGGTGGTCCTGCAGCCAGGGCAGAGGGGCTCACGATCCCCGACAAGCTCAGCCTGTCTGCCCAGAGCAGGCCTGACCTCTGCCTGGGGGTCAGCAGACTTCAGCCCCCGTCTACTTTCACATTTGTGACATTTGTACATTTTCTAATGGTTGAAAAAATCCAAAGAACCTTGCCTGCGAACATTACACATGTCAGTGTCTTGAAGTACATCTGGGCCACAGCTGCCTTTGAGAGACCAAAGCTGACCCTGCCTCTCACTGTGAAAACCCTGTCACATCGAGGACCCCGGGCCCTCACAGACCCTCTGTGCCGCCCCTGTCCTTGGAGCCCAGGCAACCTGACCTCCTCACCGGTCCCGCAAACGGTGGCCGACAGCGCCCCCTGCAGGCGGCTCCGGGACCTGCCTTCTGAAGGGACAGCCGAGCCCAGTGTTCACATTCTGCGGGGTTCACCTGGGTGTCTGAGTCTGGGATGGGGGTGAGGAGAGGCCACTTCACTCACTGGGGCCCCCACCAGGACAGCACGCGACACCCTGGCTGGGTGGGGGGCCCCGGGGGTGAGCCCACTCAGCCAGTTCCCGGAGCAGGAGGCAGGCTGACGCGGACCTCCACGGCTGGGAGCTGCCTGGACGGGGCCATGCTGGGGACCCCGGCAGCAAGCCGGGGGCAGGTGTGGACCTGCACCCCGCGTGGGGCCCTCGAGCCCCGCCCTGCCCTTCTGTGGCCCCTCGGCCCCGAGCCCTCACGGACTCCTCCTGTCCCCCAGACCGGCGGGACCAGGGGCTGTGCCCCCGCGTGCAGAAGTGGTTCTTTGAGAAGTTCGGGGAGTACGTGGAGGACTTCCGGTTCCAGCCCGAGGAGAGCGCGGTGGAGACCGAGGAGCCCCTCAGTGCCCGCAGGTGGGCCCCCAGGGAGGGGGCAGCCAGGCCAGCGTCCCGTGAGCCGTGATGTGGGGTTGGGATGAGCCAAAGGCACAGGTTCTCAGGACGGCCCTGCCCTGCCGTGTCCTCTGCCCAGTGGCCTCCCTCACACTTGGAGACAGACGGGCACGGTGGGCTCAGGGAGGCGTGCCCGCTGCCTGGGCCTTCCTGTGGGGTCGTGCACTCGCTGGGTAAACGCGCCCTGTGCCAGGGGCCGTTGTAGGTCCCAGGGCTCCAGGGGCGCCCGACGGGCCAGCCCCTGCTCTCGGAGACTTGGGTTCCTGGGGAACGCGGGCAGGACCCCTCCAGCGTAGGCCCGTGGTGCCTGGGTCACCCATGCTGCAGGCTCGGGGTGGGGCACAGGAGCCCCTGCTCACCTCTCTCTCTGTCTTCCAGGTTAACCGAGAACATGCGCCGACTGAGTGAGTTACCCAGCCCGTGGGGTGCAGGGGGAGGGGGCATTCACACTCCAGCCTTCTTCCTAAAGCTGTCAGAAGTGTGTCCTAGGCCCACCCCCTCTGCCTGTCCCTCCAGGTGGAGGCCCCATAGAAAAGTAGTGCTCTCCCAGATGCGTGCGGGGCCCAGGGTGTGCAGACAGCCCCCGCCCCTCTCCTGGGGGGTCAGGGTGTGCAGACGAGCCCCCGCCCCTCTCCTGGGGGTTCAGAGTGTGCAGATGAGCCCCCGCCCCTCTCCTGGGGGGTCAGGGTGTGCAGACGAGCCCCCGCCCCTCTCCTGGGGGGTCAGAGTGTGCAGATGAGCCCCCGCCCCTCTCTTGCTGGAGCACAGGCGTTGGGGGCAGACCACACCGGGAGGGCTGAGACGCGCTGGCCCCGAGTCAGGTGCACCAGGAGCCTCTAGTGGGCTTGGCGTCTGGCTCCCTCTGTGGCTGCGGCCAGCCTGCCCTCCCAGGTGTGCCCGAGGGCCGGCCAGCGCTGGCCTGACCATGCCGTCTGTGCCCCCCCCAGAGCGCGGCGCCAAGCCTGTCACCAGCTTTGTGAAGAACCTCTCTGCCTTATCCGACTGGTACTCCGTCTACACATCTGCCATCGCCTTCACCGTGAGTGGTCCTCGAGGGGCAGGCGGGGTGTGCGCCCTCCCTGACGTTCTCCAAGGGGCCCACCCTGTGTGTGGGACAGCCAGGGACAGCCTCAGTTTCTCCATCTGTACAGTGGGCATGGTGCCGCCAGCGGGGGGCTGTCGGGAGGGCTGTGCTTCCTGGGGCCAGTCTGCGGGCTCCCCGTCTGCACAGGGGGCCCCGAGGCAGTGTTCCCCAAAAGGACCCTGGCCGAGCTTTGGTCTGCTTTCCCAGCTGGTCACGGGACACCGGGAGGCCTGTCCACCCTGTGGAACCCAAGGGTCTTTCCCACTGGGTGCCAGGGATAGGGAAGGCGCCCGGTGACCTGGGGTCCCACCCGGGCCCGTGAGCCCTCAGTCCTGGAGAAGGGTCGAGGGCGTTGCCGGGCACCAAGGAGGTGCTCTGGGGAAAGAGGCCTCCCATCCTGCCTCCTTCTCTGATGGGGGCCGGTGCTCCGGGGGGCGCCCCACCTGCGGGCCCACATCCCATGAAGGCCGAGTGCTGCCTGCTTGCGGGGGGGGGGTGCAGCTGCCCCTGGGCAGATGCCCGGCGCCTGACCGCCGCCCCCACCGCCCTCCCCTGCCCAGGTCTACATGAACGCCGTGTGGCGAGGCTGGGCCATCCCCATGTTCTTATTTCTGGCGATTTTGAGGTTGTCCCTCAATTACCTCATAGCCAGGTAGGTGGGCTGGTTTGCGGTGTGCTTGGGGTGCTGCCTCCCGTGTCACCACGTCCCCGCCCGCGCCCCGCCAGCCCTGCCCCGTGCTGGCGCTGGGGGTGCCCTCTGCTGGGCTCGGGGCCTCCCGGCTCGCCCCCGCCGCTGCCCATCCCCAAACCCCCAGTGCCGCGGGTGCCGGCTGCAGGCTCGCTCCAGCCCCTCCAACGGGCTCCATGTTGGCAAGGTCTCCCCCAAACCTCAGGGAAGACGGGGGGGGGGGGGGTGTGACAGGGCTGGGAAGGTCCTGTGCCCTGGCGGTCCTGCCCGGCGTCCGGGGACAGGAGCCGGATTCCGGCGAGCTCCTGGCTCTGCGCTGTCTCCCCTTGGTGTTCCCTGAGCACCCCCTCGAGGCCGAGGGGGCTCCGCCGGGAAGCCAGTGGGCGTGTGCGGGGCCCCAGCCCGAGAGCCCTGCTCCGCATTGGACTCGGCGTCAGGAGGCACCGTCTGCCCACTCGTTTTCCGGTGCCCCCGAGGCAGGTCCATTTGGTGAGGGCCCCGTGCCCATCGAGACCCGTGTGTTGACAGGCCGTGCCCCGCTCACCTCTGGGGGCGTTTAAATGTGTCCCCGGAGGCGGACCCCCAGAGGAGGGGCCAGTGAGGGGGCCCCAGTCATCTGCACTGGGGAGCGGCCCTGGTGGCTCAGAAGGGAACCCCTCCCGTCCACGGCTCAGGGCGCTCCCCCGCAGCACCCGGGCGGTTTGCCGCCATCCCTGTGACCCGCCCGGGCGCCGTCTCCTTGCAGGGGCTGGAGGATCCAGTGGAGCATCGTCCCCGAGGTGTCCGAGGTGGTGGTGAGTCCTGGGCCGAAGGTCTCGTCCATCTCTCCCCGGTCAGGCCTCCACCTGGGTCCCTGCAGGGTCCCTGAGGCCCCAGGTGCAGATGTGCGGATGCCCCCCGGGAGCCCTGCCTGCCTGGGAGAGGCCGGAGGAGCCCCGGTCCCGGGGCAGCTGGTGCCCCAGATTCCCCTCCCTGGCCCGGCGCGGCTGCTCAGGAAGAGGGTGTGCTGCCTGACCTGGGCTGACCCCTCCCAGCTGTGGCATGGTGGGGGGCAGCTGGCTGGACCAGCAACGTGTAGAGCAGGGTCAGCTGCCGGGGTACCCCACCTGCGGCCTGCTGCCTGGTTCTGTAAATAGTCTTACTGGCACAGCCGTGCCGTTCAGTTACGTGGGCCATGGCTATGTCTGGGCTGGCAGAGCCAGCCGAGTGGCTGGGACAGACCACGTGGCCGCAGAGCCACCCCTGTGGACGCTCTGGCCTTAGGAAAGACCGTGAGCTCGCTCTAGAGGGGGCTCTGGCCCCCGGGGCAGAACCGCCGGGTGTGGGCAGGAGGGAGCCCTGGGTGCCTCCGTGGCCTCCGTGTCTGAGCACCTACCGTGTTCAAGGAGCACGCAGCGGGGGTGCTAGTGCGGGGTGCCTGCAGGGCCTCCCAGACGGGGTCAGAGGGCATGTCTGGGGCAGGGTGAGGCCCTCAGGAGGGCTCTGTTGAAGGAACTTAGCTGAGCAGGTGAGGTCCGCCCTCCGCCTCCATCCCGTCTGTACAGGGTGGTGCGGGCTGCGGTCTCAGGTGAGCCGGTGCCATGTTAGTCGGAGCCTGCACCCTGCCGGCTTGGCGGTGCCCACTGCCCACCCACCACCCTCTCAGGCCAGGTCCCCCAGGGGCGCTGTCCCCGGGCTGTGTGGGAGCAGAGCCCCAGACCCCCGGGAGGGGCCCCCCGTGCCGTGTTTGTCAGTAATGCGTCTGAGCCGTTAGATCCCAGAGGCCCTTCTCTTCCCCCTTTGACTGAAGGAACCTCCAAAGGAAGACCTGACCGTGTCCGAGAAGTTCCAGCTGGTGCTGGACGTCGCGCAGAAGGCCCAGGTACAGCCCGGGGCCCCCGCTCCCCGAGGGGCTCCCGCTCCCCAAGGGCCCCCGCTCCCCAAGGGCCCCCGCTCCCCGAGGGCCCCCGCTCCCCGAGGGCCCCCGCTCCCCGAGGGCCCCGCTCCCCGAGGGCCCCCGCTCCCCGAGGGGCCCCCGCTCCCCGAGGGGCCCCGCTCCCCGAGGGGCCCCCGCTCCCCGAGGGGCCCCGCTCCCCGAGGGCCCCGCTCCCCGAGGGCCCCGCACCGCAGCCCTGGCCAGGCTTGCCTGGATGCTCACCCACCGGGGCAGCCCCGAGGTGGAGAGCGCCCCTGGGTTGGTCAGGGTGGTGCCCGGCGGTCGGACCCCCAGCCAGGGCCCAGCCGGCTCCTGCGAGGGACACGGGACCGGGGCCGACGTCACCGTGGCCGCGTGCGCCCCGCTCGGCCTGGAGTGGCGGGCAGGGCCGCCGGGAACCTGCTGGGCACCAGCGGCCCTGGGTCTGTCCCCACACGGCTGCTTCCTCTCGCAGAACCTCTTTGGCAAGATGGCTGACATCCTGGAAAAGATCAAGAAGTAAGTCCTCGCCCCGCCCGCCGCGTCTGGGGCGCGACCCCGAGCCCGGCTGAGCCCCGTCTCCCTTCCAGCCTGTTCATGTGGGTGCAGCCTGAGATCACGCAGAAGCTGTACGTCGCGCTGTGGGCCGCCTTCCTGGCCTCCTGCTTCTTCCCCTACCGCCTGGTGGGGCTCGCCATGGGTGAGCACGCGCACGCGGTCAGCGGGGCTCCCCTCGGGCAGGCAGGTGCACGCGGTCAGCGGGGCTCCCCTCGGGCAGGCAGGCGCACGCGGTCAGCGGGGCTCCCCTCGGGCAGGCAGGCGCACGCGGTCTGCGGGGCTCCCCTCAGGCAGGCAGGTGCACGCGGTCAGCGGGGCCCTCCTCGGGCGGGCAGGCGCACGCGGTCAGCGGGGCTCCCCTCGGGCAGGCAGGCGCACGCGGTCAGCGGGGCTCCCCTCGGGCAGGCAGGTGCACGCGGTGAGCGGGGCTCCCCTCGGGCGGGCAGGCGCACGCGGTCAGCGGGGCTCCCCTCGGGCGGGCAGGCGCACGCGGTCTGCGGGGCTCCCCTCGGGCAGGCAGGCGCACGCGGTCAGCGGGGCTCCCCTCGGGCAGGCAGGCGCACGCGGTCAGCGGGGCTCCCCTCGGGCAGGCAGGTGCACGCGGTCAGCGGGGCTCCCCTCGGGCAGGCAGGTGCACGCGGTCAGCGGGGCTCCCCTCGGGCAGGCAGGTGCACGCGGTCAGCGGGGCCCTCCTCGGGCAGGCAGGTGCACGCGGTCAGCGGGGCTCCCCTCGGGCAGGCAGGCGCACGCGGTCAGCGGGGCTCCCCTCGGGCAGGCAGGTGCACGCGGTCAGCGGGGCCCTCCTCGGGCAGGCAGGTGCACGCGGTCAGCGGGGCTCCCCTCGGGCGGGCAGGCAGGCACACGCGGTCAGGTGGGGACCAGATCTGAGTTGGGGTGTTGAGCACCACAGCCATGCAGTCCAGGGGTCTCACAGTCTGGGCACTGCCCTTACCTGCCCTTGTCAGCCCCCCAATATGCAGGTGGGCCCACCCCGCCGTCACCTTGGCTCCCTGTCTGCCCCGAGGCCGGGAGAACCAGGCTGGCAGAGTGTGTCCTCGGGGCTGTGTGGTTTCACTGTCCTCTGGGGACCTGTCCTCCCGTCAGAGGGCAGGCTGGGGCCGGTCCCCCCAGACTTCCTTCCCAGCACCCTCCGGCTGGGGACAGTGACTTGAGGTGTTGCAGACAGTTTTACTGCTCGTCCTGAGCCACCTCTGGGTTTGCAGAAACTAAGTGGCGCTCCCTCCGCTGGGGTCACCCTGCCCTTTTGCTTCCCCTGCCCTGCCCCGCCCCCACCAGGGCCACCACCCAGACCTAAGCGGGGTGCAGGCCGCCGTGCTGAGCGGCACGTGGCCGGGCCTGGCTGAAGTGGGCTGTCCCTCCTCCAGGACTCTACGCCGGAATCAAGTTCTTCCTCATCGACTTCATCTTCAAGCGCTGCCCGAGGCTGCGTGCCAAGTACGACACCCCTTACATCGTCTGGAAGAGCCTCCCCACCGACCCCCAGCTCAAGGAGCGCTGCAGCGCCGCCGCGTCCCGCAGGGTGAGTCCGCTCAGGCGCGGCGGCCCAGGGAGCTGCCGTTTTCTGCGTTCGCGCCGGGTCCCGGGGCCGACACCCTCCGCATCGCCAGGGGCCCGTGAAGCAGACAAGTGAGGATTGTGTTTCCTGCTGCCAGCTCCGCGTGGAGGGGCCCGCCAGCCGTGGGCAGGGGCGGCCGCTGCTGAGGCCCCTCTGGGGGTGGCCCTGCTGGCCCGGCTGGCTCAGGGCCGGCGGCTGTGGACGTGGGTCCTAGCTGCAGAGCCTGGCGCCTTGGGAGGAGGGAGCCCTGGCCGTGGCCACCCCGTGGGCGGGTGGAAGGTGCCGCTGTGCTAGCTCTGAGGCTCGGGCAGCAAGGCCCAGCAGCACCTCAGACGAGTCCAGCTTGTGGTCCCAGGCTGGTACTGGGTCCAGTATTTTATTCACAATGAATGGCCACATGGGCACCGGGCACTGTGTCCTGAGCCAGCCTAAGCGCTGCCCTCAGGGTCTCAGCTGAGTGGGGAAATTCCCGGCCTAATAGAACTCTCAGGCAGGTCTAGGAGAGCTTCCTGGAGGAGGCGACGTTGGGTTACAGAGTCGTGTGTGAGTGTGCTCTGAGATGAGGGTGTTCAGTGACCTGTTGACCCTTCTGTCAGTGGAAGGGGAGCTCTGGGTCAGAGTGGGTCGTGCTCCTCAGTCTGGGACCATAAAGCTTGTTGGGAGCCTGAACCCCCCCAGCTGGGTGCGCAGCTGAGCACGCGTGAGGCAGTGGGTGGGCTCCGGGCACACAGATGGAGATGGACCCAAGGGAAGAGGCACAGAGGCAGGCAGCCCAGCTCCCTGGAAGCACAGGGGAGCCCGGGGTGACCTGGACGGGCCTTCTCGGGGATCAGGACCGCTGTGTGCTGGTCACTGTCGGGAGACAGTAAATGTAAGGATGCGGGCCTCCTGGGGTAGACGGTGACCCCACAAAGGCGTCGCGCCGGCCCGGGTCTGCGCTTACAGCTCACTGAGCTGGTGTGTTTGTGACCTCGTGTCATGTGGACCCGGTGTCCTTTTGTCATGGTCACACGTGTCTTGTCTCCTTCCCGGCCAGCCGTCAGGGCATGACAAGGTACGGTGCCCGCGTGGAAGCCCCCCCTCCCGCTCTGTCCTGGTGCCGTGCGTTGCTGTGTTGTGACTGTTTGACTCTAACGTTGCTTTCGCTGGCCTGTCCCACCGGCAGTCCTGGTTCTGAAACGTCCGTCAGAACGGCACCGGGCTGTGTGTGCTGGGTGCGGGCAGAGTGGGCGATGTGGGTGGGGACGTCGCGGGGGGAGGGTGCCCCCCTGCAGCGGGCCGTGCACAGCAGGAGGGCTCCTGGGCCTGCTGGGGAGCCCGCGCCCCACATCTGGCACACACACCTGTTCGCTCGTCTGCAGCGGGCGTGGGGGGAGGCCGCGCCGGCCCGGCCCCTGCCCCTCTGCACGCGGCGTGCTGACAGGGCCGGTTGCTGTCGGCAGCTGCAGACCACCTCCTCGCGGAGCTACGTGTCCAGTGCGCCCGCCGGCCTGAGCAAGGACGACGACGCCGGTCGTTTCCACGGCACCAAGAAGGGCAATTTCCACGAGATCTTTAACTTGACAGAAAACGAGCGACCACTGGCAGGTCTGTGCCCCACGAGCCCCTGACCAGCCGGCCCACTGGGCTGACCCTGCCCCGTGGGGGGTGATGGACGCCTGGGGGGAGCAGGGCGGCTCCGGCCCAGCGCCCGGGGCAGGGGCCCCTCTGCAGTGAGTGGCGCCCAGCTGGGCTCCCGCCGGGCCTGGCCGAGCCGGCCCACAGCGTGGGCGCTGCTGGCCCCTCCCTCAGCACAGCACTGCCCTGAGGTCCTGCCCAGCTGGGCGCACGGGCCGTGGCCTGTCGGATGTGGGGGCCCAGGTCCCTGTCCACCTCCCGGAAAGGAGCTCCCCATAAAGCCCCTAAGCTGCTGCGCGCTCAGCGAACTGGGCTCTTGATGTTCGGTGGGGTGTTTAGGGAGATAACCCACCGCGGGAAGAAAGCCTTGAGGGCCGCGGGTTCTCATCTCTGCGTGTTAGTCCCCACCCCGGGATGTTTCTCCATCGATTTTAGATAGAGCGGGAGGGGGAGAGACGTGGATGTGAGAGACACGTCGATTGGTTGTCTCCCGCTTGACCCTGCCCAGGGCTGGGGGTCAGACCTGCAACCCAGGGAGGTAGCCGTGACCAGAGTCGAGCCCACGGCCCTCTGTCCACGGGCCGGCGCTCTCACCGCTGAGCCACACCGGCCGGGGCGCCGCTTGGCTTTCTGAGCCCTTGTCCTGCTGACCTGCAGCAGGACACACGTTCTTGGGCGTCTGCTGTTTCCGTTACTGTTTGCGTGACCAGCGACCTTTCCCTTCCAAACAAAAGCAAAAACCCTGTGTGTTCACGTGGCAAAGAACTCAGTGCCACCCCTGTCCCTGGGCCACCGTCCCTCCCTGGGAGAGGCCTGGGGTGGAGGGGGGGCCGTGGCCGACAGCCGTGGCCGACGGGCTGAGCTGTCCGGTGGGCAAGCGGGCGGTTCTGTCCCCTCAGTGTGCGAGAATGGCTGGCGCTGCTGCCTGATCAACAGGGACCGGAAGATGCCCACAGACTACATCAGGAACGGGGTGCTGTACGTGACGGAGAAGTGAGTGTGGCCGCTGCGGCGGGCCGGGCGGCGGCGCGGGCACAGTGCGCGTCACCATCCTCTGGGGCAGAGCAGCCCGAGGACGACGCTGCCTTGTCTCTCCTGGACGAGACCGCAGACAGCCTCTCCCCGGCTGCCCTCCCGTAGAGAGGTCGGGGGGCCAGCCACGGGGGCCGGCCAGTCTTCCCCACATTCACAGCAGCGGCCGAGGGCCCAGCGTCCCTCCCTACCCCTCGATGAGGGAACTGCGAGGAGCCCCCTCGGGCCTCGGGGACACTTCCGTGTCATATGTTGGGCGTCTCAGGACCTTAACATCTTGGGAACATAGACCAGGTTCAGCTGCAGTGCAGAGTGGTGGGTTTTTTTCTTTATTGGTTTTAGGGAGAGGGAGAGAGAGAGATGGAAACATGGATGAGAGAGAACATCGACTGGCCGCCTCCTGCACGCCCCCCACTGGGGATTGTGCCCACAACCTGGGCATGTGCCCTGACCCGGAATCGAACCGGCGACCTCTTGGTGCGGGGTTGACGCTCAACCACTGAGCCACACCGGCCGGGCATAGAGCGGTGGATTTTAATTCTGAAATGCTATGAAGCTCTTTCAAAAGTAAATTTTCTTGTAAAAGGCCAGGGCACCTAACAGGTGCGAGGGGCTCTCGGCTCGGGGTCGTCCTCACCCCCGGCCCCTCTGGTTCAGGGTTTGCTCTGTCTGCCCCTCGTAGCTACTTGTGCTTCGAGAGCTCCAAGTCAGGCTCCTCCAAGAGGAACAAAGTCATCAGGCTGGTGGACATCACTGACATCCAGAAGGTCAGCGTGCCCCCGCCCTGTCTGTCTGTTTCCCGTCCAGTGTCGGGGAGAGAAGCCGCCGGGGCGCCAGGCTGGCGGGGTTTTCTTGGAAATTGTGACATGTTTCCAAGGGGGGCAGGTGCCACTGGAGACCCCAGTGGGCACAGCGTCTGCCCACATCAGGGCTCCCCTTCCGTGCACAGCCCCTTGGCTCTCGGGGGTGTCCGTGCGTCTGGGCCCTGCCTGCCCTGCCCCAGGGTGTGGCGGTGCCCGTGTCCTCCGACAGGAGGGACAGCACAGAGAGGCGGGCCAGGCGGTCAGGTCCAAGCCCCTCTAACCCTGTGCTGTCGCCCCTCGGCCCTGAGGGCCCCCCACCTCGGGGCAGGTTTTAGGGGGAGCACAAACAGCTGCCCCACTCGGGCGTTTTGTAGCCGATCCTCCCGTGTGGTCCCCTGGAGCAGGCACAGGCGTGTGCGGTGCCAGGAGGGCTCCCCGCCAGTCTGTCCCCTGCGGCTGGCAAGCCGGGGCCTCTGGGCCTTGTCACCTGTGGTCTCCATGGAGAACTCTGGGCGTGGGGAGGGTGCACGGCCCTGTCCCTGAGAGGCCCGTGGGGTGACACGCTCTTGTCTTCCAGTATAAGGTCCTCTCTGTCCTCCCGGGGTCGGGCATGGGAATCGCGGTGTCCACACCATCGACCCAGAAGGTGAGCACCGGGCATGCGGGGCCAGGAGTGTGGCCGAGATTCCGGGGTGAACTCAGAGCCACTGACCTGCCAGAGGTCCAGCTGGGCAGAGGGGCCTCGAAGCTCCCTGCCTCCCTCTTCCCTCCCCTGCCCACCGCCCCCCCCCACTGTCCCCTGTGGCCACAGGGACCTCCCCCCACTGCATGGAGTTTGGGGCTGGGAGGCTGAGGCCCACAGGGGTGACCCAGCACAATTACTGGGGAAGGGGGAGGGGGCAGCTAGGGGCCAGCCCCTGCCTCTTGCCTCAGTTTATCTGAAGTCTGGCTTCTGGGTAGGAGGGGGTCTGCCCTCGAGCACCCCGACCCTACATGCTTCCACGCGGACCTGGCCCAGGGCCAGCCAAGGCCTGGGGTGGTGGCCTTGTCCTGTGTGAGCGGTCACACGGGCTCAGGCACGACGTTCCCCCGCCAGCCGCTGGTGTTCGGCGCCATGGTTCACAGAGACGAGGCCTTCGAGACCATCTTCAGCCAGTACATGAAAATCTCGGCGGCGGCGGCGGCGGCCAGCAGCGACAGCTGATGTCGTCCCGCCCAGGACTCTGCCGGACGTCATTTTAACAGTTGGGTAGCGGGAAGAAGTCGGATGTCCTCCTGATCTTTTGCAATAATCCCCTCGACCTGTGGTTTCGGTGGTGTGACCTGCGTTCACAGACCCTCGCACGGGGGTCACGAGCGGCGCCCGTCCGCCTGCGGTGAGGCTGGCTCAGACCCGGGACACGGGCGGCGGATCCTCGGAGGTCATCGGGAAGGAGGACGTGCCGGACACACACCGTCCCAGCCGCCACCAAGCACAGCTGCTGCCCCTCTGTCCCCGCCCGGGCAGAGGCCGGCGCTGGCCGCGCAGCCGCGCTCTGGAGGCCGGAAGCTCTGCACACCGAGGCCGTAGCCGAAGGGCGTCGAGGGCGAGGGAGAGGCCGCCCGGCCCCTGTGAGCAGCCGGGGGCTCGCTGCTCCTTCGCGGGACCCCGCTGCGTGCCCCCTCGGCTTGTGCTCTGCCCGGCCCACGTGGGTGCAAAGGCGGGTGGCAGCCCGCGTCCCCCCGGCCACGGCCTGAAAGCCAGCGGGGGCTGGAACTGCCTGCGCCGCGGGTATGGAGTGTGACCGGAAGCACAATTCCTAACACTTTGCTGATCCGAAAGGCCCAGGGCTGCGAGGTGGCCGGCGCTGGCCTCTGTGCTGAGCGCCCCGGTCAGAGGGAGGGCTTGGGCACTTGGGGGGACGGCCAGGGGTGTCCCAGGCGCATGGTCAGCCGAGCTGTGCGGGGACACCTGGGAGGACACTTTGGGGAGGGACTGTGAGCAGAGAGGTCTGGGCCGGCCAGGCACACCCCTGGCTTCTGACAGTATTCCTGGCCGGGTCCCCGCACCGCGTGACGGGGAGCCCCGCCCTGCCTAGGAAGCCCCAGCCCTGTGGAGGTGGCCCGGCTCTGCTTTCTGGGACAGCCCCGAGCGCACCTCCATCCGCCCGTGGTCGCCCGGAGAACACCCCTGTGGGTCGGGGCGGGTCACCCTGGGTCGGCGCCCTTCCCAACACGGTGATTCCTGTCCCTCCACTTGTCCTGAGTCCTTTGGGTGTCATTGAGATTGTTGTTTTTTGAAGAAACAGATTCTATTTTTTACAGAGAGCAAGCTGTTTTTCTTATTTTTGTATCATTTTTCAGATGTAATTTTTACCTTTGCTCTGATCCCAACTTGCTGGTTTGAGTGAGAGATGGGCAGCATCGCTCAGCAGCCCTCAGGGGCCGCGGGCCAGGCACTGGGCCGGAGCGCGTCAGGGAGCCGCCGACCAGCCACACCAGGCACACCCGCCCCGTCCGCGAAGCCTGCGGGCCCCGCAGCGGCCTGGGCGACTGATCCCGCCGGTCGGCCTTTCTAGAATGAAGGCAGGGCTGCTCCAAACCTCGGCTGGCTCCCCGGTCAGTGCAGGCGCACTGGCTCCCGGGGCTCCCGAGGCCACACCCCCGAGGGACCCCGCCTGGTGTCCAAGGAAAGGCATGGTGGGGCCCAGAACTGCCCCAGGTGGTGCCGCGGGGTCGGCATGTGCTCTTCTGTCGGCGAGGGTGGGAGTCTGTCCCGAGCCCCGTGGGGGTGGCCCCTCCATTGGCTGGGACTTGGCCGTCAGCATCAGGGTGGTCTAGTTGGAGTCCCTTCTGAGAAGAAAGGAGATGAGAACTGGCCACGTGACAGGGTGCGGCCGCCTGGCCCCGAGGGCGGAGGGCCCCGGGTGCGGGGTCAGGATGGGGTCCTCGAGGTGCACAGTGGGCCGTGGAGGGGCAGAGCCCAGCTGGTGCGGGCGGGGGCCAGCGGCGAGGACCGGTCACTGCAGGTGTGAATCTGGGCCCGTGTTCCGTTCTCATGACAGATCACTGAACTAGAGCGAATGTTAGATTTTCTACGTCTGAAGCCGGAGTCTATTTTGAATCTGTAAATAATCATTACCAGTGGAACTCGGTTCTGCACAAGGATTGTACTGTATGAAGAACTGATGAAAAGTCCCCTTGTAACATTTTTTAAAGAAAACTTTGTTTGTTTAAAGAAAAAGTCTTGTATAAATTATAATTTTTATTTAAATAAACCTGAAATGCTTTGTGCTAAGGCGGGGTCCCCGTGCACCGTGGGCGGCCGGGGGGGGGCGGGCCAGGCACCGTCCCCTCGGGCGGCAGGGTTTCCACAGCCGCAGCATCGAGGACAGTGGGGGTTTGGACACCGAGGCCCCAGTGAAGGCGGGGGGCGGGGAGTGGACTGGGGGCGGGGACAAGGGGCAGGGAGCCCAGGGAGCCTGCCGACCGCGCTGACTCACAGGGAGGCGTCCACTGGGGACAGCCTGGCACTGACCCCAGGGTGTGCAGGGAGTTCAGAAACGGGGAGACGCAGCACACTGGGCTTGGGGTACAGGTCCTGGCCCCACCCAGGGGTGTCTTCCAGGTTCCTGCACCCAGAGCCCCCTGGGAGGCAGGTGCCTGCCAAGGTTGCCCAGGGAGTGGGCCAGCGCTGGGGGAACCAGGGCCTGTGGGTGCGCTCCACCTCGGGGCGTGGCCGGACCCTTGGTCCATCTGTCGGACAGTGCGGGGCTGGGATACAGCCATGTCCCCAGGGACCTGCTCAGGATCACCTGCTCCCTCCCTGGTGACCGTTCTGACAGGACACCCAGACCCTGATTTTCTGACCCCAGTCCCCTCAGCTCCCACTCACACCTCAGCCATCCTGGTAGCCGGCCCCCCACCGGCTCCACCCTGGTCGGTCCCTCCACCAGGCCTTTCGTCGCCGTGGACAGAGACCCTCCTCATGGGGGACACCCACCCTGGGAGGGAACCCTGAGTGAGGGGAGATCGGGCCCCAGCGTGCCCGCACACACGCCTGGCACCATTTGAAGGACGGTGTGACGACCGCATCTCTGCGCCGGCTTCCTTCGCAGGCCTGTGTGTTCCCACGTGCGTGGGCAGGTGCGGCTTGGCCCCACTCACGACGGTGCGGAAGCCATACGTTCTCGGTGGAAACCATTCAAAGTGTGAATATTGACCTTTCCCAGCAAGACGTGTGTGGTGTGTCTGACGCCGGCAGCAGGATGGTTTTGCTAGTGTCTGCGCACATGTGGGGGGCCGGGCTACGCTGTGGGGTTCAAGGGTACTCAGGGTTGTTTGCACCTGGTGCTGGATTTGTCGGGATGTGACCCCATCATAAGCCAAGAAGCCTCTGCGTTCTGAGAGGGCGTCTCGGCTTTTCCTGGCAGGTCCAGGGGCCAAAACAAGGCACCGTGGGGCCCCCGCAGGGCTGGGCCTTTATTCTGGGGACACAGAGCCCCTGCAGGGCTGCAGCAGAAGGGTCACTGCAGGGTGGGGGAGTCTGGGGGACGCGAGGACAGAGAAACACAGAGGGACGTGAAATTATTAAAGACGATTTTCTTCTTGAATTGGGGTTCTCATCATTCATTCTTACTGTTTATTTAGCAGCCAAATTCTGCCCAAAGTAACTTTATTTTTGTCTTCTCAAACATATCAGAGTAAATGACCATTTTCTAATCTTGAAACCTGCAAGACCAGAGAGGAAATGAAGCCGCCTTCCCAGCCCCCTCCCAGCGACACAAGGTTGCAGGAAGGACGGTCACAGTGCCCCCCGCGGCCGGAAGGCCGAGCCACAGGCCAGCCCTTCAAGTGCTCTTGCTGACACTACCTACCACCAGTTCTGATTTTTCCCCCGTTAAATCCCAAGGTGCAGGGTGTGGGTGATCCACCTGGAGTTTCGGCGGACGTCAGGTCTGCGCGGATGTCCGAAAGGTACTTCCGTCCTGTGCACAGATGATCAGGGAGCTCTCGGGGGTTCAGTCTCGCCACCCCCCGAGTTCCAAGGTTTGCCACGGGCAGGTCGGCGTGCAGGCGGTGAGCACTGCCAAGGCCATCTGGGCCCCGAGGCGTGGCGGGGTCTCCTGCCGCCCACGCACGCTCCCTCTCTGGCCTGGGCCGTTTCCAGAACCAGTGGTGGATTTCAGGGCGGACCCGGTCCCGCTGGGGAGACTCTCAGGAGCGCTGCCCGGGCACTGAGCCCGAGGGCACTGCCCGCACGGAGCTGCCCGCCCCACCCCTTTGGTTTCCTCCCAGCCAGGAGCAAACAACAGAAATGGCCACTTTACACCCAGACTTCATCCGCTCACAACCACTCAGCCATCTGACTCCCACGATCTCCTGAATGACGGCCGTGCCTCGTGCACAGAGGAAAAGGCCGAGAGGCCGCGGTGGCGCAGCTGTCGCCGGTGGGGCTGAGTGACGGCACAGGCTTCAGGTGGACTTCAACACACACACCTGCACGCGGCTTCTAAACACGCTGTCTGCTCAGCTGTCTGCTCAGGGCTGAGATGGCTGGACCGAGGGGGAGGGGGCCGGGCGCTGGGACGGCGGACAGGGCGGCCCCGGGGACGGCCGGCGTTCCTGTCGCAAAGCAAACCTCCTCTGCACCTCCGGGGTCCCCAAGCCGAGAACAGGCTGCAGGCCACGGCGCAGGCGGGACCGGACCGGGCCTTGGAGTCTGTCCAGGCGGCAGCCCGCAGCAAACGGGAGCACTAACCATGAGGACACCTCGTTGCGAGTCAGGTCTAACAGGACAAAACTGTCAATAAATATGTAGAAATAAACGCGAAGATAAAAGAACAAATCTGGACTGTGTGTCGACTGGAGGCCGGCACCAAACGAACCCCTGGAATGTAGACCCCCGCCCCCAGCCCCGGGGAGGGTCTGAAGCTGGCAATGCAGAGCGAGCGTCTTGCCCACTGCGCGCTGCCCAGTCCGTCTGCCCGCGGAGCCCAGGCGAGGACTCCCGCTGGGGCACCTTTGGCCATCACCCCGCCCGCTGCCTGCTTGTGGGGCCCAGGGCTGCCGCTGGATTGTCAGGTCGCTACTACGGGGGCGCAAGCAAGGCTGTCGGGAGTGTGTCCCTGCTTCTCGGGCTCTCGCTGAAGTGGCGGGCGCACAGCAGGAGGACCTGGGACAGCACCCCAAGCATGAGCTCAGATGACAGTAACACGCGGGCCGAGAGCCCCTACTTCCCAGGACTCGGCCGTGAACAACCAGACAAGTCTGGCAGGGCCGGTCAGTGGCCGGAGGCTGTGACACGGCCGGGGGGCCTCCTCTTCCACTGTCTGCGCCGTCCCCGCCGTTAAAATCTAAGAGGCCAGCGCCCCAAATCCACAGTCAATGTCTGCTGAGAATAAGTTATGTGACACGCAACCAAAGGGTCACGTAGAACTGAAAATGCCCGATGTGTTCACAAAGTTGTTGACAGAAGGAACTGTCTCTAAAACCAAGATTTAACTATCAAAAATAAATTTCTAAATTTAAATGTATGTATCCACATAATTGGTCTGTAGCATTTTCTTAATTTTCACGCTTCCAAGCACAGCGAGAAGGCGGGCGGGCGGAGGGGCTCAGCCGCGGGGCTCCTCCTCGATCCCTCGGGCGAAGAGCCGGACGAGCTGGCAGTGGACCCTGCGGGGACACACAGGGCCACGCTGAGACCCGCGCCCTGACGCCGGCCCGGCCTGGGCTACATTCACCCAGTCCCACCCCGTAATGATGGCTCAGGGTGCGGTGATTTCCTTAACACTCCCTAGAGACCTGCTTTGTAACAAGGGCAGTGACGGCCCAGGGGAAACCGGGTTCTAATTCCAGCCCCCCACTCACCACCAGTGACCCCAGGTACCGGGCAGGGCTCCCGCAGGCTCCCCGAGCGCATGAGCCCCGGCAGGTGGAGCACCAGGTCTGAGGAGCAGGCGGAGGTCCCCGAGGCCCCTCCCAGGACAAGCTCCGGGCGGCCCCACAGCCTCCTGGGAGACGGTAGTGAACCTCCCTGACTCCCCGCAGAGTGTGGTGACGTTGACCAGGACACAGGCCCAGGCCACAGGAGAAAGCCTGGCCTGATTCTCCAGTGCCCAGTCTCTCCAGGAAGCCCCCAGGCCCACACTACCACCCCGTCTCCTTCCCTCGTGGGAAGGGTCTGCAGAGGCCGAGTCCCTGGAGCGCGACACGCTGGCGGGTTTTCCTGTGGCCCCCGGGCCACCTGCGGTCAGCAGACTGAGTGGCCGTCACCGCCACAGTGAGCACCTCCTGAGTGCCGACGGGAGCACTTGCATCGGAACGGGGTGCGGTCAGAGCGTGCCCCTGGCCGGCAGCCCTGTGGCCAGCAGCTGGCTGGCTGGGAAGCCACCGCAAGTGGCGAATTCCAAACAGGACACACATGTTCCCTTCGGTGCTGTGACTGGAAACATCGGGGGCACCTCCGTGCCCCGCTCTCCGCACGGCGGGCCTGTGGGCCCCGCGCTCATCCCTGTCACGTGACCCGCGCTGTCCTTCCTTCCCTCCGTGGACACCGAGGTTTCGAGACCTCTGCCAACAGTCCCAAATCGCCCTCGATCTGGTAGGACTTTATACCCAGGCCTCACTTAACAGCCTTCCTTTTTTTAATACTCACCCGGGGATACCCCCCCCCATTTATCTTCAGATAGAGTGGGGGGGGGGCATTGCTTGGTCACCTCCTGCACAACCCCAACCAGAGCCAGGGACCAAACTACAGCCGAGGTTCGTGCTCTTGACCGGAATCGAACCCGCGACTCTTCGGTCCATGGGCCGACGCTCTGACTGCTGAGCCAAGCTGAGGGCCGACGCTCTGACTGCTGAGCCAAGCTGGCCAGGGCCCCTTTAACCGCTTTCTAAGGAAAGCAACCTCCCGAGACTGTGTCTCTTCATGGAAAAGACGCCTTCCTGCCCCGACGGTTCACCTGGCTACGTAATACCTACCACGCACACGGACAGTCTGAGACATGATTACAGACTTCTAATACCACGTACCACGGGCCCCCCTTCCCACACTCCGCCGTCCCCACCCTGGCCACGAGCCTGGACCCCAGCATGCTGAACTCGGGCAGCAGGCCGGGCAGTTCAGGCCAGAGCGCCCCCTGGTGGGTGCAGGGAACCAGGACCCAGAAAACGCCCGAGGAGACTGCAAATTCAGAATGTCGGGCAAAGCTGCCCGGCCAGGGCTGGCGGGCAGGGCACGGGAGAGAGATCAAGGCTTCAAAGACCTGCGACAATGATCCACACCCGGCATGTTCCCAAAGAGAAGCTGAGGCGCCCGCCAGGGCGTGTGGCACAGAATGGGCCTGGCCACGCGCCCAAGTCCCGAGGGGCGGGGGCTCACCCACCTGACCTCAATGGCGGAGCTGCTGAGAACCTCCCCGTCGCAGTTCCAGGAGCTGTTGGAGGCCGCACAGCAGCACGGGGGGTGCTGGCTGCAGATCTGGCCCAGCCCCTTCTTCCCCCGCTCGCCCAGGTCCCCGTCCTCGTCCTCCGCGTGCGTCGACACAAACTGGAACTTCTTGACGCGGTAAACTTCAACAAAAGTGAAGTCGAACTAGCAGAAGGGGAGAGGGTGTTCCCAGCGTGAGGGTTCCGGGAGGGGTGGGGACAGCCCCCACCAGCTCCAGCCAGCTGGGCCCTGCGCTCGGCCGGCCCTGCAGGCGCGGACGCAGGCGGGCCCCGGGCGGCACTGTCCAGCTCGCTGGACGGCTGGAGGTGGACAGGAGCCAGGGACCTGCCTTCCTGGGCACCCGGCTAAACTCTCTGAGACCCCTGGAAATCCACCGTGCCCACCGTGATGCCATCTGTAGGTCCTTAGCAGTGACCCGTAGAATTCTTTGTCTCTTTCACAATAACTATTTAAAGAGCTACACACACACACACACACACCACTATGGGAGTAGTGGTTCTACTACTACAAGTTTTTGTTTTATCCTCACCCGAGGACATTTTTCCATTCTTGTTCAGATAGAACAGGAGGGAATGAGAGAGAGAGAAACATCGACGTGAAAGAGACATCGAGTGGCTGCCTCCCGCACGACCCAACCAGGGCTGAGGACGAATCACAACCGAGGTACGTGCCCTTGACCGGAATCAAACCCGTGACTCACTGGTCCACGGGCTGACACTCTAACTGCTGAGCCTAACCCGCCTGGGCCAATTTAAGTTTTAAAAAAAGCAAATTTCGCCCTGGCCGGTTTGGCTCAGCAGTTAGAGCTTCAGCCTGCGGACCAGAGAGTCCCAGGTTCAGTTCCTGCTAGGGGCACGTACCAAAATAAATAAAAAAATTAAAAAAAGGCGAATTTCACTAAAATCAGAGACTGACCCCAGTTCTCTGCACAGTGCCAGGCTCGGGTCTCCCTGCCCCAGAGGCAGAGGCCCCGTGAGCGGGTGGGCCCCGGAGCCTGAGGGTCGACCGTGAGCGTCCTGCCCAGAATGTCGCTGTGCCGCTGGCTTCTGTGTGCACAGGACGCTGGGACAGGGACCTCCACACCCCCTTCCGGCGCTCAGGGAGGTCATTATACTTTCAGATGAGGTTTTACGAGGAGTCACTGGGACTGAGCGTTTACAAGGGGTGAGACGCGCCCTGGCCGGTTTGGCTCAGCGGTTAGAGCGTCGCCCACTGACCAGAGTTGTGGGTTCGATTCCCATCAAGGGCATGTACGTTGGTTGTGAATTGGTCCCTGGCCCTAGCCCAGGTCAGGTAGGAGGCAACCAATCGATGTGCCTCTGTCACATCAATGTTTCTCTTCCCGCCTCCCTCTCCCTATTCTGTCTGAAAATAAAATATCCTCGAGTGAGGATTTTAAAAAATAATAAAAAAGAAAAGGGGTGAGACGCTAGCAAACAGTCTGCCCTTCCTTCCAGGGACCCGGTAACAGGCTCACGAGAGCCCGGCAGGGGAGGCCCCGGGGCTCAGGGAGCCAGGCGCACCCACCTGGTCGCAGTGGTTGGTGTGCCGGACGAGGAACCGCAGGAAGTTGAACCTGGAGCACTTCCGGATGAGGATGAGGTCGGAAGACCCGTCTCCCAAGTGGGCGGCCGGGGACAGGCCCCTGGGGCTCCGGGGACACGCACAGGACATGTTCGTGGCGTTGATGGCCAGGAACTTCCCGCAGACGACCTTCCACTCCTCCACCTCCTCTGAAGCAGGGGACACCGAGAGGTCCCACTGGAGGGGCGGGCCTCCGGGGACCGCACAGGACGTCCCCACGCCCCTCGGGGTTGAACCTGCCCCGGTCCCATGCCGGCCACACACTCGTACTAACGCTGCTGCCGCCACACCTGTCACGGACACTAAGAACACCCACCACGGAAGCCGTACACTGGCCTGGGAAACTGTCCCTGGTCCCCACATGGGGACTTCGGAACAACGATTTAGAACAGGGTCACCTACTCTGGCCCACTGTCTGATTCTGTGTGGCCTGTGAGCTGAGGAGGACCTGCACATCTTGACGTGTCTGAAGAGATCTGAGTGATACGTGGTGGCACGGGCGAGTCACGGGCAACCCTAACTGCAGTGTCCACAAATAACCTCTGGGACAGGGCTGTGGCCTTCCCTTCCCCAGGGGCCACGAATCCCAAAGTCGGCACCGGGAGCCCGCCACGGAGACACTGCCGACCGGCTCCTGGGTGGCCTCTCCGAGCCTCTGGTCCTCCGGGGAGCGCAGGGGCGGGCAGGCCCCGCACCCGACCGCAGGCGCGGCGAGGGCACCAGTGTGCCCGGGACCTCACCCGAGCTCTCCAGGCCGTACAGCGACCGCTTCTGCTCCTCCTCCAGCTGCTGCCTGCTCTGCCTGCAGACAAAGCACCTGGAAGACAGAAGCCGCCCTTCTCACGCCACGGCTCCCGGAGGGGCGTGCGGGCGGCAGGGACCACGGCGCGCCAGTCCTGTGTGCCGTGAATGTTCACGTCAAAGGCTCGGCTAAGACACTGCTTTGGCTCAGCCCGTGTGGCTCACTGGTTGAGCGTCGACCCTGCACCAAGAGGTCTCCGGTTCCATTCCCAGTCAGGTTGTGGGCCTGATCCCCAGTGGGGGGCGTGCAGGAGGCGGCCAGTCCATGTTCTCTCTCATCGATGTTTCCATCTCTCTCTCCCTCTCTCTCTAAAATCAATAAAGAAGAAAGCAAAACACTTCTTTGACTCATGTCAGTGTGTCCTTGTCTAAAGCAAAGGGCACCCACGAGGCCCCTGTGTGGGCTCCCTGGGCATGGCGGGCTGGCCCTCACCCAGAGTGGCGCTGGCTAGAAAACCAGACACGGTTCCACCAGTGTGTCCCCCCTGAGCCCAAGTCACTGTCCCAGGACAGAAGTTGTCAGTTATCTGTCCCGGCCAGTACCAAGCAGGCAGGTGACTCCGAATGTACTCCTGAGTCTAGAACACCCCTGCGGTCCGGGCACCCCTGAGGTCCTGGGAACCCCCGTGGCCCCAGGCACCCCTGCTGTCCAGACACCCCCGCAGCCCCAGGCACCCCCACGGTCCGGGCACCCCCGCGGCCCCGGGCACCCCCGCGGCCTGGGCACCCCTGCACCACACCACTGAACAGGACAAGCACTATGCTGGTCATCGACGCAGCAAAACAAATGCCATCCGCCTCCGACAGACCAAGCTTTACGGTCTCGAGGTCTCCACTCAAAGGGAAGGACCGGGGAAGGGGTCCGATGTCTGAATGACTTCACAGAAAAGCCTGAACCCTTCAAAATCCCACACCCTCTGCGTCCTCGGACCATGGAGCAGGGACACCCCGCTGTCGCCGAGAAGCCACTGGGCCACAAGACTGATTTCAGGACTACCCCAGGTCCTGCTCTAAACTGAGGTCCCCGGTGGGAAGGAGCTGCTGTGACTCTCGCACATGCTCAGAGACTGCGGCAGGTCGGGACAGGCCCTCAGCTGTGGCTGCCGTCACCTGCTCTCCCTCTGCGCCTGCTCGCTGCCCGGGCGCTGGCCGGGCTGGGCTCGCCCTCCCTCCCTCGAGGGCAGGCACCGCCACGGTGCGTGGGGCTCAGATGGGCCAGGGTCTCAGGTGGGGTGGGGCTGGGAGGCTCCCCGTGGTCCCTGCGGTGTCCGGCGCACACGGCGAAAGCGGTCTCCGGACGAGCTGATGTAAGCTCCCCACCCGGGACCGTGTGGCCTGCATGCGCCTCCCCTCCGGTCCACCGGGGGCGCCGTGTGGGGCGTGGGTGAATGCGAAACGCTACGCTAGCCCGCGCTGTCTGGCACCAACCCCAGCACCCCGACCCCCGTGGGAAAGGGCGACACCGACGCCCGCTTCCCGCCGCAGCGTGCTCACCCGGCCCGGCAGGGCTTCCCGTCCCGCGGAGAGCCCACCGTGTGCTGGGCCGGGAGGAAGGACACCGTGCCTTCGTAGCAGTGATGGGACAGGAAGGTCTTCAGACCTGAGGAAAAACAACCGCAGGGTCATCTCGCGGTCACGACAGTGAGACCTCCAGCTCCAGAAACCTCAGTGGGCGCAGGTCCCCGAGAGGCCTTCTAACAGCCGCCCCCCGCAGAGGGGACTGAGGGCCTGCCACCCCCGCCACCGTGCTGAACCGCTGGACCACACGTCTGGGTGCAATAACCACCCGTCCTGTGTCACCCTGCTGTCCCCTGGGAGAGGCTCAGTCACTACCCGTCCTGTGTCACCCCCGCTGTCTCCCCTGTCCCCCAAGGAGGACAACCTGCCAACTCAGTTCCTCCAGAAAGTGAAGGGTGACAGCCAGACCCCGCATGGGGTGGGAGGGCACGCTGATCCGTCTGCAGCTTCGAGCTCTGAGCAGCCCTGGACCACAGTGTCCCCATTTCTGTGCCCTCAGACGGGGCCGCCTGACTGTCCTGCTGGCCCCAAAGCCCGCGACCAGGCTGCACCACCTGCACTCGCCTCCACGGGCTGGACTCCCTCTGCCCCAACCCAGACCCTCCGGAGGACAGCTCGGCCTCGCAGGCAGCGTGTGGCCCCGGCGTGAGGACGGGGAGACCCTGGCCGGTGGGCAGAGAGGGGGCGCCCGGGGGCTCAGGATCGCGGCCTCGCGCGCCATGATGAATCATCAGGAAAACAGCACCGGCCACTGAAACTCTGGGGCTTTTCTCGTCCCCTCGTTACTCCTTTTCCTGACTGAGGTTTGACGGGCATCTTTCTGCTGAGATTTTGAAGCTACACTGTCGTTTTGACGAGGTCTTTTCATGAACGCAGCTCCCCAAGCTCCTGTTCGCTTCTCTCCTGAGACAGTGGTTCTGATGTTAGTACCTGGAATTACTGTTTAATTTGATACAGATTCACCCAAAAGCACCGAGAGAGGGCAGTGCCCGCCTTGACGACATGCCCGGCCCTCGGCCCTCACACGTCGTCCCTGCATGACCTGCCCGCGCCCTGGGCCACGCAGACTGACACTTCCGTGTGGCCTGCACGTGCCCGCCGTTCGGATCCAGGCGGCCAGCCCGTGACCGCGGGCGGTTCTCCGGGCGCCAGGGATCTGTAGCTACAGGGGAGCCGGTCCTCGTGGGTCTGTCACAGGGGCGCCCGCCTCTCGAGGGCACCGTGCAGACGAGGTCGCCGAGGTGAGTGGACAGTTTCCCAGGTGCCGTTCTGAGTTACCTGAAAAGTCGTATCGGATGAGACCCATCCAGCGCTTCTTCTCGCTGTCCTTGATGATGTCCCCGTAGAAACCGTAGCCCAGCAGGGACACCGAGTACCGCAGCAGCGCCCCCTTGTGGTGCACCGAGGACACGTCCATGGGCAGCGAGTCCCCTGCGGAGAGAAGCCGGGGACTGGAAGCCGCTTCCCTCCCGCGGCCGCACCGTCCCCCCGGAGCCCGCAGCACTGGGGAGACCAATGCGCCTGCTCTGGGGGCGCCCTGCTCTCGGCAGGTGGCCACGCTCGGCCGAAGTCCCGAGGCAGGCGGGGACGCCTCTGTGCGGGACAAGCGGGACTGTGTCCCGAGGCGTGGTCGCGTCACCGGTGGAAGGAGGTGACAGCGAGGACAGGGTGCTTTCTAGAGTGCAGTCACCCCGCGAATTCGCAGAGCAGCGTTCGGGTGCCCTTGGCAGTGGTGTCGTCAGGGACCAGGAAAGGGGGAGGGAGCCGCAGCCACTCCTGTGCCTGCTCCCGTCAGAGCCAGGGTGCCCTGGCCTCAGGGACGCGCACTGAGCAGCAGCGAGCCAGGCAGAGCACACAGACGGGGAGACTGGCCGCGAGGCCTGCCCGGCCAGGTGACGAGGGGCTGAGCCGGGAATGGAGAGAAAGCGGGGAGCAGGGCACCACAGACTGGGGACAGAGGGGCAGAGGGCCGCGTGCTCGAGAACACACGTCCACCAGCATGGGGACACCGAGGAGAGCCGGCCGGCTCACAGGGTGCTGGGCGCCCCCCAAGGCTCTGGAAGGGTGCCGAGCAGGGTTCATGTTTCGAGGGCCCCTCTGACGGTGTGGGAAGACGGGACGAGGTGGCGGGTGGAGGGAAGCCACGCGGAGCCCGCAAATGGCCAGGGCAGGGAGGACGGTCGCGAGCCCCTCGCTGTGCCCGGGCGGCTGCGGGGCGGCTGCGGGGCGGCTGCGGGGCGGCTGCGGGGCGGCTGCGGGGCGGCTGCGGGGCGGCTGCGGGGCGGGACCCACCCACGACAATGTGCAGAGCTGACGTCTCCGCATCGTTGGCGCCGACCGTTGAGTAACACACACAGTCCGTTGACCCTGATGAGGAGAGAGAAGGCTCTCAATACCCTCAGAGTGACCGATACTGACCGCAGCCGCAGTCGGTTTCCAGTGACGTGCGTGCTGAGCTCTTCCTTCCCGTCCGCGGCCCGGACTGGAGGAGGAATAAATGCCGTCACCTGCAGAACGACACTGAGGAACTCAGAGAAACGCCTAGACGGGCCTCGCAGTCACCCCGAGAGCTCCTCCCGGAGTCTGGGAAGCGGGGCCCAGAAATGCCGGTGGCCGTCGGTCGCTGAGGACTTGGCTCAGGGCCTGCCCGGTGTGCCCTCCCGGGTGCCCAGCCGTGTGCCCTCCCGGGTGCCCAGCCGTGTGCCCAGACGGCAGCTGCGTCTCGGCGACAGAGCACGGAGAGCACGGGCCGCGTGTGGAGGCCGCAGGCAAGCGCCCCGGGGCCCACACACCAGGCGAGCTCGCGTCGCGGTGGTTAGAGGACAGAGTCCTGGCCCAGCCCGTGAGCACGCGAGCACGCGAGCACGCAGCCCACGCAGCCAGGGCTCCCCTCCTCCCGCGGCATCTGTGATGTGGGGGTGACACGGCACCAGCTATGCCTGGCCCACCAGGGCGTGGCACGGAAGCCATACTGACCCTCCCCAGGTCCGTCCTGCTTCCAACTGGGTCAGAATCCAGGTCGCTGCTCTTAACCCGAGTGGGCAGAGACTCCCCCGGGGCAGCATTTTACAACACAGATTCCTGAACCCCACACCCTGAGCTTCTGACTCAACAGTGAGATGGGGCTAAGCAACCGGAATTTTAACAGACCTGCTGAAGAGCTGGAAAACCCGGCTCTGGATTTCCCAAGAATCACCGGGCGGTGTGGCTCAGGGGCTGAGCGTGGGCCCTGCACCAGGAGGTCACCGGTTCGATTCCCGGTCAGGGCACAGGCCCGGGGTGTGGGCCCAATCCCCAGTGGGGGGCGTGCAGGAGGCGGCCAATCGATGTTCTCTCACCGATGTTTCTGTCTCTCTTTTCTCCTTTCCTCTCTCTAAAATCAATAAATAAAAAATATATTTTTTAAAGGATCACCGGGCAGCAGTGTCCACCACCGCACAGCATTGCCACAGACCACGACCGGCCAGGGTGCCAGGGTCGACGGGCATGGCCGCTCCAGCCACAGGCAGGGCCCAGAGTGACCCAACAGGCCTCGCTGTGACATCGGCGAGGCTCCGAGGTCACGGGTCCCAGCGGCTGAGCTGGACAGAGCCTGGTCCGGCGTGTAGCCAGAGCGGAAGGTAATTCAATGACTTCATCTCGGATGGCTGCGGCTTCGGACGGTAACTGGCACACCCCTGCCCGAGCATGTAACACACATGTTTTTGTTCTTCTCGACTTCGGTGACATCTGACTCCAAAAATGAGCCAAAAAGCAAACAATTGTAAACAAATATTTAAGACTACAGGACTAATTCTCAAAATGTCATTAAATGAGTGGGTTCCAGACTGCTTCCCGCACTCTCATCTTCATCATCAAGGGGACGCAAATGACAAGCACAAAGCGCAGAAAGGCCAGCGTCCCTGTGAGCCAGGCCCCGAGGCGGAGCCCTTCAGGTCCTGGAAGGTCGCAGAGCCGCGTGCCCCCTACGCGCCTGCTGCGCTGGCCACACGCTTCCCCACCGTCCTTTATAGCAAAACGTGATCGGACCCGGCCCCCTGCCTGTCTCTAACCAGACGGAGCTTGTACCGTCCTTGGCCAGGAAACAGCGATGACGGCGCATGAACACGGCCGGGCGTGCTGGTCTCTGCGGCACCAGGCCCGACAAGCCCAGGACCTCCGCCGTCCCTGTGGTCTGGCCTACGCACACCCCGTCTGCTCGGTGCGAAGCCGGCGTTGGAAGGAGGCTGGAAGTCCTCCAGAGGAACTCGAGGAGGGCTCGGTTCTAGAGAGAAGCCACTCTGACCACAGGACACCACCCTTCACCACAACAAAGACGGGCCCTTCCTGACGACCCATCTCAGCCAGGTGCCCTGGCATCTGGGAGGTGTGGGCAGGAGGGGTGGAGGCGGACTGGCCTTCCTGGTCGTGGGTGCCGGCCTGGGCCCCGCTCCAGGGGCTGGGAGGGACTGGCCCACAGGCCCACGGGCCACGTTCACTCAGGAGAAGCAGCCGCAGACTCCAGGGACAGAGGGAGACGGCGCGGAGCCCAGACTCGTGCGTCCCAGGGGGGAAGCAGAGGCTCCCTGGGGCCCCGCTCCCGGATGGGGGCTCCCGGATGGGGGCACACCTCCGCTCTCCCATCCAGGCCTGCCGCGGGGACATGGGAGGCAGACTGTTTCCAATAGGTCTCAGGGATGATCGCTAAGGAAGGTAATCAGCCCGCTCACTTCTGCTCAGGATCCCTCACGGGGCCACGGTCCCCCGTCTCCTGCACCTCCCTCCTCCGCTCGCCTCATGCACCCAGTTCACGCCAAGGAGCTCCCACAGCACGTCCCAAAGCCCCGCCTGCTCCTGCCTCGGGGCCTCTGCACGTGCCACACCCGCCTCCACAGTCCACCCCCGACGCAGAGCACTGTCCTCCCGACAGGTCCCTGTGAGCACCTGCCTGGACCGGCAGCTCCCCACACCCCCACACCCCCACGCTGCCCTCGTTTCTTACTTTATCCCTCCCCACCCCCAGCCCCGACTACTACGTGACTTGCTGCCTCGTTCACTCCGGGGTCGCACACGGAGCTGGGCCCCGGTTACGCTGAGACATCTCTGCTGAGGGAAGGAGCTGCCGGAGCTCGGGGTGCCCTCCGGTCCTGGATCCCTTGTTTTCAGCGTGAAGAGGCTGGTCTGGCTGACACCTGAGCCACAGACCACGGCTTCGAGTCCACTCAAACGTTCCTATTGTCGGTCATCCCTGAAAAACACCCTCTCTCCCTTGTCCCTCTTGGATACAACTCCCCGAGTATTTCTTCGGTCATCTGTTTGGCCCGGCCGCTGTGGCTCCGTGGATGGAGTGTCGTCCCATGGACTGAGAGGTCCAGGTTCGATTCCTGGTCAGGGCACATGCCTGGGTTGCAGGCTCGATCCCCAGGAGGGGGCGTGCAGGAGGCAGCCGATTGCTGTTTCTCACATCGACGTTTCTATCTCTCTCTCCCTTCCTCTCTCTCTAAAAATGTCAGTAAAAACATATTTATAGTTTTAAAAAGACATCTGTTTGGAGAAGACTTGAACCGAGAGGAAGGGCCAGCTCTAAACACAAGGAGATCCGGTTTGTTTGGGCGTCATGACTGGGTGCTGGCATCGAATCCTCTGAAGGCCTGACGCCCCAGGCCTGTGGTGCGCCCTCTGTGTTCCAGGCCCTGCGCAGCCCGGACGCTGCATCACACGAGCCCGGGTCCGCTCCCCGCTGTCCCTGTGGGTGCCCCGCCCCGGTCTGGACACGGCAGGCAGCAGGCAGGCACGCCGGTGCCCCCTGTGCAGGACGCGACCTTTCTGAAGCAGGGGCGACAGGCTCGGCTTCGGTGCACTTGGCCGGGCCCTGAGTCCCAGGACCCTTTCCTGTGCTCAGGAGAGAGGCTGAGGAGCAGCGGGCGTGAGGCTGGCCCCACTCTGCTCGAGCCCCGAGCCCCTGCAGGCCTCAGGACCGAGGCTGTGTCTGCAGCTGACCGACGGCCTGCGGGGGTGTCAGGGGCAGGTGACACTCTCCTTCCTCCCAGCAGAAGCCCACTGTCCTTTCCTCCCCGCGGGCAGGGGCCGAGAGCTGACTCGCGGTACAGACGCCTTGCTGATGTGGGCTTGACCACGGTGCCGCCTCCACGGCCAGCGGCACCCAGGACACACACCGCGGCTCCGAGGGGCCGCCCTCTCGAGAACACGTCCACCGGCACGGACTAGGACTAGGACCAGGTCCGCGCAGGAAAGGGGCACACAGCCTTGGGACGAGCATCTGGATACCCGGGACCCGCCTCCCCGCCGACTGCTCCCCAGAGTGCTGGAGGCCCAGCTCCAGTCACCGGCTGAGGGGACCCGCGGAGCCACGTCTCGGGGTCTCCCTCAGATCCCTCGTCTTGACCCCGCCAGGCTGCCGAGGCCAAATGACGAGGTCGTCCTCGGTGCCCCCGGCTCTCCCTCCTCCCTCCGTCTCCTGTTCACTCTGCCACCCGAACAATGCCGAGTCTCAGCCAACCACGTGCCACCATCACCACATCCACGTCTCGGCGTCCCCCCGGACTCGGCGACTGTCTCCAGCTGCTCCCAGAATGGAACGTGGGGCCTGGTCTCCCAGTCAGAGGTCATCCCTGCTCACCTGAGACCTCCTCCCCCTGCATCTCCCTGCCCTTCTCCGGTCCCCCCTGTGACGCCACCCCCGCACCTCCAGCCACACTGGTCCCTTGTCCTGAGTGCACAGCCTGTCCCCATTGCCCCTCTGGACCAGCTGACCCGCAGCATGGCCCCCTGCCCACGCCTGGAGGGACCTCACCTGCCACCTCTCAGAGAGGCCTCCTGGCCCCTCACCAGAACCCCCACCTGCAGCACCTGTCCTCGTGGCCCCGTGGGAGGCCCTCATGCCCACATCAGTGTCTACGGGCACCTCCTGGGCAGAGGTCACACCCGTCTCAAGGCGCAGAGCGCACCTGTTCCTGGCTCGGTCCCCCCAGGCACGCGGGGTCCGCCCAGCCCAGGAGCGTGCATGAGTGACCCGTTTCCAAGTCTCAACGGCTCCAGCTTCAGTGTCGCTGACACCATCAGCAAACGGTGACAACACACACACACAGGATGCTAGACAGGAACACTGAGAAGTAAAACTCATGGGGCCCAGAACACACTACAATCTGGCCCAGGCCCCAGGCTAAGGCGACTAAATGACTCCATTTTTATCATCAACAGACCTTCCTCGATGTATTTCCACCGACAGGTTAATTGCCCCTAGAAGTAAAGGAATTTTGCCTAAGATCACAGCTGCCCCGCGTGTTGGGAGGCATTTGCGAGCGCTCGGGAGCCTGTGAATAAGGCTAATTTTGACTCTATTCGCTGCCACACCCACTACTGTACTGGTCCTCGGAGGGGGGAGGGCACAAGGAGGATGGGGCTTCTGTCTTTCAACCAGACGAGCAAGAAGAATCCTGGCTGCTGATCTGAGGGGAGACGATGCCCCGCAGCCCGCCGGCGAGAATAAAGCGCTCCTTTACAATTCGGCTGTGCGTCTGGCTACCTCCCTGACACGCTGTAACGATACAAGAGCTTAACTTGGAAAAGAGGGTAAATACGTTTAAGGGACAAATGGCACCCTCGTCAATGAAGAAAGGCTTCCCGCCAGCCTGGCCGAGGGGCCCTGCGCTCTGCCCTGCGCACCCTCTGGGTGACCTGCGGCCTCACCCAGGGCCTCGCGTCGGGACGCTGCCGGCCTGACTTCAGAGGGCTGCGGTGAGAACAAAAGGCCAGACGGAGCCGCCTCACCCCGGCTGAGTCGTCTGTGAAACCCTGAGCCAGCAAAGGGACCGCCTCGCCTGCTAGGTGACTTCCTACCGTGACTTCAAAGACGCAAAATGCCGAGCCAGCGCCTTCCGTTCACGGCCCACGGGGACAGCCCTGCACCCTGCACCCCCACACTCCCTCCTGGGTCCAGTCTGACACTCCGTCCCCAGCGCCCCAGCCCCTCTGTCACATCCCCGCCAGGTCTGAGCTACGGACCTGCCTGCTCCGGGCCTGTGTTCTGGGGCTGTCGACTCAGTGACCCCTACCGGGGCAGGGACCGTCCCCCGGCTCCCAGCTCTCAGCACCTGGCAGAAAGCAGGGTTCAGGGTTCAGGGAGCAGGACGGGACTCCTCCCAAACACGCCTGTGACCCTTGGTCACTGACTGTTGCTCAAAAAGCAGCAATAGTTGCAAATGGTGATACATTTAAATCCCATTTAAATACAAGGGAACCTGAAGGAAGAGCCAGAAGCGTGTCCCCAGTGTGAGTGGCCCAGTGGCAGGGGGTCTGCTGACAGAAAGTCCTGACCGTCCTGAATTCAGTACAGCGCCGAGCGGAGGGCTCCTCGGTTAACCGCGGGCCAAACCAGCCAGGGGCAGGCCCGCCCCTCAGCGCATGTTGGGATCATCAGCTTCCAGGCGGCTACTTCCAGGGCCGCCTACAGAGGAGGGGGTGCCCTCGGACCCCAGGGTTCTCGTTCATGGGGAGCTGCGGACCCTGCTGCCCCTCCTAGATCCAGCCCCGCCCCCTGCCCACAACCAAAGTAAATCCTTGCAGACAGACTCCCACCTCCGCCCCGGGTGCCGCAAGAGCCGACGGCTCCCCCAGCCCTGCTGGCAAGCCCGCTCCACACCCACGGCCCCTGTCCGCTCAGCAGTGGCCCAACAAACCCTCTCTCTCCTTTTTCTTATTTTTATTGATTTTCTTTTTATAGAGAGAGGAAAGGGGAGAGAGAGAGAGAAACGCTGATGAGAGAGAAACATCGACTGGCCGCCTCCTGCACGCCCGCCACTGGGGATCGAGCCCACAACCTGGGCATGTGCCCTGACGGGAATCGAACCGGGACCTCTCAGTCCACGGACGACATCACTCAATCCACTGAGCCACACCGGCTGGGCACGAATCCTCTCTTTGAAAAGACTTTTTTCGGGGAAGATGGCCTGTGTGTCACAGGCACTGAGTGGGCCTGGCGTGGGCACTGGGCACTGGGCACGGGAGGCCTACCTGCGGGGATGATGCCGATGCGCAGCTGGCTGGGCACCAGGGCCGCGCGGGGCTCGTTCTGGTCCACGCCGGCGACCCTCTGCGTCCTGCCGATCAGCCCGTGCAAGACCTCGCTGAACATGCCGTCCCCGCCGACACAGACGACCCTGTGGGCGCGACACGGGTGTGAGGGTCCCCCCTGCCACCCTCCCTGCGACTGCTCTCTCCACGGTCCTCACGGTGGCCCTGGGAGGGGACAATCAGGGTGGCCTGCATCGCCTCCCTGTAGCCGGTGCCCCGGCCCGCGCCCCGGAGCAGCCTGCTCGCTGCTTCAGCAGTGAGGTCTTCCCAGGCCCCGGTCAGCGCCCAGCCCTGACGACGCCCTGGGATGCCCGTCACAGCCGCCAGGAGCCCGAGGCTCCCAAAGGCCACGGAGGGCAGGACTAGGATCAAACCCGCCGTACCCCTCAAAGCAGGGAAGTCACCAGTCCTTGGCCCCGAGCCTGTCCTTCCCTTCACCAGAAGGAACAACACTGACACCCCCCCGCCCCTGACAGAGGGCCCCAGGAGCTGGCCCCCGCCCGGCAGGCGCCCTGGAAACTGGACCTCTGTGGCAGGTGACAGCAGCTCCTCCCCGCTGGCCCCTCGCAGCCCCCGACCCCTGTGACTCCTAAGTCTGCCTCCCAGAACCCCTGTTCCCGGTCACTGTGCACACTTCTGGTGTCCCCAGGGGCACAGGCGCCCACGTGGGAACCCCAGCTCTGCCTCCTGAAGCCTCCAAGCAGGGCTGACTCAGGGGTACAGGGACACGCATGCCAATGAGCCCCAGCACAGAGATGGGCTGTCACCCCGATCACCCCGCTGGAGGCAGACCAGGATCAGATCCTGGCCGTCCGGGCCCTCGGCTGCCCTTGAACCTTCCCGCTGGCCCAACTTCAGGGCCCAACTCGCCTGTGGAGCCCACAGCTCAGCGGACACCCCCCATCGTCAGCTTCGAAACCTGCTTCCGCTCCTCACCTCACACCTGGACCCCCCCCCCCACGGGCACCTGCGTTAGGAACCCGTGTCTTCGTCAAGGGTCGGTCGCTGGGACCCGTCATTCCCCGCAGACGTCCTGAAGACCAAGCCCTCTGCCACTGACCAGCCAGCTCTTGCCCACACCCAGAACCTGCCTGCGTCCCCCTGGGTCCAATCCCACCTCCCTGCTCCCTGCCACGTGGCCGGATCCTGTGGCACCTCTACTGTGACCTTCCTGCGGGTCCTCGCCACCTTTCCAGGTGCCCCATGCCAGCCTGCAGGCCAGGCAGAGGAAGCTGGTCCCCTGGAGCAGACACGCCAGCAGGTGTGGGCACCTCAAACTCCAAGTCACCCAAGGGGCACTCAGTGGGCACGACACCCCTTCCAGGTCACCGCAGCCAGAAACGCGGCCAGGGTCGGACCAAGAGGAGACACCACAGTGACGGCCCGCATCACACAGACCCAGACATAACGGCCGCAGACAACACGTGCTACAAAGTAACGGGCCTGCACCCGGCCACCAGCGAGGCCCAGCGGCTGTGTATCCGAAGCTGCAGACAGGACGGGGGCAATGCAAGGGCCAGGGTTTCTTCCACTACAAACAAGTAACAGGGCAACGGGCAGAAGCTGGGTGAGGACAGCACACAGACAACGGTATCGGCCTTGACCTCCGGGCTGGATCACTGGTTCGGTTCTGTAGACACTGTTGTTCTCAGGAAATATACACAGACATAGTGCTCTGATCGCATCAACAACATGCGCTCACGTGACCCTGCGCCGGTAGTGAGACCGACAGGAAAACACAAGAAAACCCACGAGACAGTGTCCTCCCCGGGGGCAGAAGAACAAGGGCGGGAATCTGAGTTTCTACAAGCAGCGTGTTTACTGTTACAATGAAAAGGTGAGGCAGGAGGAAGCGGAGACAGATGGCGTAACACCCGATGAGAAGGGGGCACGCCCCGCGAGAGGAGGGGGCAGACCCGAGGAGAAGGGACGAGGAGGGACAAGGAGGGGGAAGGCCCGGCGAGAAGGGACGAGAAGGGACGAGAAGGGACGAGGAGGGGGAAGACCCGAGGAGAAGGGACGAGGAGGGACAAGGAGGGGGAAGGCCCGGCGAGAAGGGACAAGAAGGGACAAGGAGGGGGAAGGCCCGGCGAGAAGGGACGAGGAGGGGAAGGCCCCACGAGAGGGGACGAGAAGGGACGAGGAGGGGAAGGCCCGGCGAGAAGGGACGAGGAGGGACGAGGAGGGGGAAGACCCGAGGAGAAGGGACGAGAAGGGACAAGGAGGGGGAAGACCCGAGGAGAAGGGACGAGGAGGGACAAGGAGGGGGAAGGCCCGGCGAGAAGGGACGAGGAGGGGGAAGACCCGAGGAGAAGGGACGAGAAGGGACGAGAAGGGACGAGGAGGGGGAAGACCCGAGGAGAAGGGACGAGAAAGGACGAGGAGGGGGAAGGCCCGGCGAGAAGGGACGAGGAGGGGGAAGGCCCGGCGAGAAGGGACGAGAAGGGACAAGGAGGGGGAAGGCCCGGCGAGAAGGGACGAGGAGGGACAAGGAGGGGGAAGACCCGGCGAGAAGGGATGAGGAGGGACAAGGAGGGGGAAGACCCAACGAGAAGGGATGAGGAGGGGGAAGGCCCAGCGAGAAGGGACAAGAAGGGACGAGGAGGGGGAAGGCCCGGCGAGAAGGGACAAGAAGGGACGAGGAGGGGGAAGGCCCGGCGAGAAGGGATGAGGAGGGACGAGGAGGGGAAGGCCCCACGAGAGGGGATGAGAAGGCAGAACGCTGAGGAGAGGGGCCGCGTCAGGCGCTGCGCACTCACCCGTCGTAGTGATCCACGTCCATCTCGTACAGAGCCTCCTTGGCGTGGTTGGCCCGCTCAGTGACTGTGGGAGAAATCCATGACGTCACAGACACTATGTTCACAGCTGTGGACCCCACACCAAAGGCGCACACACCGTGCTTTGAAATGAGGTCCCATAAGCCCTTCCGGAGGCCTTCCCGGGAGAGGTCCCTGCTCCGAGGGAACTAAGTCCTTCTGGAGACGGAATTGTGGGACCGCGATGGAAGACGACCCCTCAGAGGACACCCGTGGGTGAGGTGGCGCGTTCTTGGCATCTAATTGCCAACCGATAATGGCTTTTTGGAAAGAAATTACTCTCCTATTTTATTTTATTTAATTAATTAATTTATTTTTGTACGTGCCCCTGGCGGGAACCAAACCCGGGACTCTCTGGTCTGCAGGCCGATGTTCTAACCGCTGAGCCAAACTGGCCAGGGCTACTCTCCTATTTTACAGTTTCCCTTATTGTCCAAGTTACTTTGGAAACTTTAGGAAACGTGAAACTAGTCCTGTGTACACCACAGGACACAGAAAACCCGGGGACATTCTACTACAGGTGCAACTTCGCACTGCGGTCGGCCCAACATCACAGCACAACTGCTTTTCCATCGTTAACATTTCTCGCCCTGGCCGGTTTGGCTCAGCAGTCAGAGCATCGGCCCACAGACCAATGAGTTGTGGGTTCGATTCCAGTCAAGGGCACATACCTCAGTTGCGGTTTGTCCCTGGCCCTGGTTGGGTCATGCAGGTGGCAGTCACTTGTGTGTGTGTGTGTGTGTGTGTGTGTGTGTCTCTCTCTCTCTCCCCCTCCCTCCCACTCCACCTGAAGATAAACAGAAAAATATCCTTGGGTGAGGATTTTTAAAAAACGTATTTGTAAAGCCCGGCTGGTGGGGCTCAGTGGCTGAGCATCGACCCATGTACCAAGAGGTCGCTGGTTTGATTCCAGTCAGGGCACATGCCCAGGTTGTGGGCGCGATCCCCAGTGGGGGGCATGCAGGAGGCGGCCAGTCGATGTTCTCTCTCATCGATGTTCCTCTCTCTCTCTCCCTCTCCCTTCCTCTCTAAAATCAATAAAGAAAAACAAAATCTTTATAAAGACCATTTGAAAGGACTACACACTGTTCATACAGATTCACAGCAATTTCATCTTCCTGTTTCCTGTTTGGGGACATTTGTTTTCAATGTTTCGCTATTATAAAAGGTGACGCTGGACAGCTGAGTGTCTCCCCAGGAAAGACTGAGAAGTGGAACGCTGGCCAGTGGCCCATCAGCAAATGCTCCTGCATATGTTTCCACGAGCCGCTCACGGGGCGTCTCCCGGGGTCCCCCCGGCGTTGAGAGCCTGCTTTGAAAACTCGGAGTCACAAATGTGGTATGGCATCCTATTCCTTAAAATGTCACTTACTGGCAAAATGATTTCTAAGACATTAATCACTTGTATCTCTTTCTTGCGAGGATTTTCTGTCTGTGATCTTTATCCTGTTCCCTTCACGGTGTCTTTCTTGAATGCTTTAAATCCTAGGACTTGGCTAGTCTGATTTGTAAAAACACCACATTCTATTTTGTGTGAAATAATCCCATAGGATAGCCCTGGCTGGCATGCTCAGTGGTTAAAGCGTCAGACCATGCACCAAAGGGTCATGGGTTCAATCCCTGGTCAAGGGCACGTACTTGGGTTGCTGGTTCATTGCCCAGCCCCTGTAGGGGTGTGGCGGGAGGCAACCGATCCATGTGTCTCTCTCATTGATGTTTCTCTCTCTCTCCCTCTCTCACCGCTTCCCTCCCTCCCTCCCTCCCTCCCTCCCTCCCTCCCTTCTTTTCTCTATAAAAAAATCAATGGAAAAAACATCCTCCGGTGAGGATGAACAAACAACAGTAATCTCGTAGGATGGACACCTCTAGCGACACATTCGAGTCGCTCTCCCATCTCCCCGCCCGATGCACACGGCCGCTTACCGATGACCTCGGTGGAGATGGCGGCCAGGGCGAACAGCGGCGCCACTTTCCGCTCGTAAATCCGCTGGCCTCGCCCCTTCCCTCCGAACGGGTTGATGAACACCAGCAAGTGCTTGGGTCGACATGCTACAAAACAACGGCGCGTGGGTCACCATGAACAGAGCGAGTGAGCACGATGAAGGACTGTGTCACCGGACCGCATCAAACCACCGTGGTCCTAGACAGTCCTGCTTAGACCATCTGGAAAAGGGCCTTTTGTGTGTGTGTGTGTGTGTGGTGCGTGCCCCTAGCGGGAACGGAACCCGACTCTCTGGTCCGCAGGCCAACGCCCCCACCGCTGACCACAGCGGCTGGAGCTGGAAAAGGGCCTTTGAAGTTCAGGGACAGCGCGAAGGAGTTTCCCCGTCTGGGCGGAGAGGAAAGGGACACCTGTGGGCTCGTGGTGCTCCGCCCACCCGGACGCGAGGAGCCCGGGAATTCCCTTTCCCCGCGGGGTCCCGGGAGATGTCCGTTCCGGAAGGCAGTAGCTCCTCCTCCGTGAGAAGAAAGTGAATTTGCAAAGAACAAGGAGAACGAAGCAGATGTCCGAGAGGAGCGTTAGGAGAGAAAGACAGACAGACGACAGGCACAGAAGAGCTTGACGTGCAGGTGGATGGAGAGATGGATGGACAGCGAGATCTCAAGGGGCCTCCCAGGCCCTGGTCCCAGCCAGCCTCCAACACTGGGGTCTCCCAGCTCACTCCTGTTTTCTCACAACTTCCACATTTCTGTTGGGGTCAGTTCAAGTAGATCCTGATACTTAAAAAAACAAATTTAACTAACAAATCAATGAAAGTAGCAAGGAGCCCGGCCGGTGTGGCTCAATGGTTGAGCGCCGACCCTGCACCAAGAGGTCGCTGGTTCGATTCCCGGTCAGGACACACGCCCAGGTTGTGGGCCCGACCCCCAGTGAGGGGCGTGCAGGAGGCGGCCAATCAATGTTCTCTCTCATCGATGTTTCCTCTCTCTCTAAAATCAATAAAGAAAAAAATATTTTTTAAAAGAAAGTAGCAAGGAGGTCTATACCCAAGAAAAACTGAACACCAGGTCCACAGAGTCCTGCCCACGGCGCTCACAGCGGCACCCCGCACCGAAGCCGAAAGTGAAGCGTCCACCAGCTGAGGACCAGACCCGGACGTGGGGGTCTCCACAGCGGCATGTTATTCGGCCACAAAAAGGAACAGCTCCGACACACCGACCCCACGAATCCATCTCAAAAGCACAGTGCCGAGAGACCAGCCTCACGCAGAAGAGCTCGGAGCCCGGGGCCCCAGCTACCGGAGTCCCAGAGCCCACAGGACTCTCGGGAGGCAGAAAGGCTGGCTGCGGGCTGCCCCGGCCGCTGGTCGACCCCGAGGAACGCGGGAACCTCACTGGGACCGGGTTACACAGTCTACACGGGTTGGTGGGTGGTCTGCCCATTTCACTGCACGTGAAATCCCCCTCGGAACCGAGTGCTGGCCTGTCGTTGGGCTTCCCGTGCTGAGAGTCAAAGGAGGAGAACCCCGACATCTGCCGCTTACTCTGAAACAGAAAAGGAGCCCGGACAGTGTGGCTCAGTGGATGGAGCATGTCCCATGGGCTGAGAGGTCCTGGTTTGATGCCTGGTCAGGGCACATGCCCGGGGTGGAGCTCGATCCCCAGGGGGGAGCACGCAGCAGGCAGCCAATCGATGTTTCTCTCTCATCGATGTTTCTATCTCTCTCTCTCTCCAAAATCAATAAAATTTAAAACACACACACACAGAAAAGTGCGACCACCTAGTGAACGAACAGACAGACATCGACAAGGCAGTGTGAGCAACGTAACAACGGCAGGATCCGAGTGGTGGGCGTGTGACCGTTCCCTGCCCTCTCTCAGCCCGCACGCTTGGAAATCTTCCCAAGAAAATACTGGGGGAATGCGCAGTACAGAAATCAGCAAGGCCAAAAGTTGGTTCTTTGAAAAGATTAATACAATTGATAAATCCCTAATAAGGCTGATGAAGAAAAAGGGACAGCCCTGGCCACTTTGGCTCAGTAGTGAGAGCGTTGGCCTGTGGACCAAAGGGTTGTGGGTTCGATTCCAATCAAGGGCATGTACCTGGGTTGCAGGTTCGATCCCCAGCCCTGGTCAGGGTCGTGCGGGAGGCAACCAGTTGATGTGTTTCTTTTTTTCTTTTTTTTTATCCTCACCCGAGGATATTTTTCCATTTTTTGTACAGATAGAGTGGGAGGGAGAGAAAGGAAGGGAGAGAGAGTGAGAAACATCGACGTGAAGGGACACATCGAGTGGCTGCCACCCGCACGACCAACCAGGGCCGGGGACAAACTGCAACCGAAGTACATGCCCTTAGCGGGAACCGAACCCAGGTCTCTCCGGACCGCAGGCCGACGCTCTAACCGCTGAGCCAAACTGGCCAGGGCAGTTGATGTGTCTCTTTCACGTAGATGTTTCTCTCTCTTTCTCCCTCCCTTCGATTCTATCTAAAAATCAATGGAAAAATATCCTTGGGCGAGAATGAACCGAGAGAAAACGAAAGACAGAAGAACACAAATGACCAGCGTCAGGAACGAGAAGGGGACACTATTCCAGAGCCTACAAATACTACAAGGAGAGTGACAGGACCCACTCACTAACGGGTGTCATAAGTCTCTCGATTGGGATGAAACAGACAAATTTCTAAAAAAATACCACTTACCCAAACTAAGGAATGAAACAGAAAATCTGAATAGTCTGATTTCTGATAAAGACACGGACACCGCTAACAGAAACCTTCCCACAAAGGAAGCAGGCCCAGCATGGTCTCACCGATTCATGGTTCCCAGCGTTTAGAACAAAGTAGCCACAATGTTACGGGGCCTCCCGCGCAGAACAGAAGTGCTGCTCGCTGTGCAGCTGTGCGTAGCCCTGGGAGCCTGGCCACGGAGCCAGACACAGACGGACGTTCTCAGGAGGGAGACCCGCAGGCGCCCCTCCCGCGGGCCTGGTCGGGGAAGCACTACCAGAACCTCGGCCAGCCGACTCCAAAAGCACGTGAAAGGACGAGCCCGTGGGGCTCACTGCAGGGCCACAGGCTGTTCTGCAGAGATGCACCAGTGGGTGTCAGCACATGCCCCAGGAGAACCACACGAACACCCCGGAACTCGATAGACAGCATCTGTCAGATTCAACGCTCATTCCCGACCGAAAGAAACAAACTCTCATTAAACTAGTTTTAGAAAGAAACTTCCTTAATCTGTTTTTTTTTTCTTTATTGATTTTAGGGAGAGAGAAAGGGAGAGGGAAAGAGATAGAAACATCGATGAGAGAGAACATCGATGGGCTGCCTCCTGCCTGCCCCCCACTGGGGATCGGGCCCACAACCTAGGCATGTGCCCTGACCGGGAATCAAACTGGCGACCTCTTGGGGCAGGGTCAACACTCCACCACTGAGCCACACTGGCTGGGCCCTTGATCTGTTTTTTTAAACCTATCAAAACCTAAGAAGCCTCATTCTTGACAATGAAATGTTGAAAATGCCCCCGAGATCCGCCCCCTGGCGGACGTCCAAACCGGGCCGAATTGGAGGAAAAAGCCACAAAAGGCACCAGGGCCGAGGTGGAAGAAACAGGCTGACAGTCTTCACAGGTGACGAGGAGAGTCACCTGACTATTAGAATTAATAAGGGAGTTTCGCACAGTCACTGCATACAAGGTGAAAGAGAAAATCAAATTCAATTTCTATACACAAGCAACACAAAAATGAAACACGAAACGGTGGCAGCACGGAGCCGGGGCGAGGACAGTCTCTCCCACCCACGGCACGGGGACAGGCGAACGTCTCCACCTAAAGAAAACGAACCTCACGCCACACACAAAAATCAGTGCCAATCGGGGGTGGATCTTCGTGTGCAAGGTTAGAGAAGAAAATACATCTTGGCCTTGCAGTAGGCAAAAGACGTCCTACTGACCACAGGGTTTGCAAGCAAGATAAGCAGAATGGCGGCGGCGGGCACAGCGCAGCGCCCCCGGCGAGAACGCCCGCCCCGGGGACAAGCCCTGCACGCCACAGGTGCCAGGTGCGGCAGGAGATCCCGACCCGCAGCAGGGAGCATCGCCACACGTCGTTAGGAAAGACAGCCCAACGGAAAACTGGACACAAGACTTGAACAGACACCTCGGATTTCCAAATGGCCCCTAAACAGAAATGTGTTTCTCAACTTCACCAGCTGCAGGGAATGCAAAGTACCGCCACAACGGAGACTCGGAACACCCAGGAAGGCTAGACCGGCAAGGGTGTGATGCAGACGTGGGCAGCCAGACGGATGCTCACTGACGGCAGTGTCTCTGGACCGCACTCTGGGACAGGCAGGCCACGTCTCCTGAGGTTGGACACACGCACCATCTGGCCCAGGAGTCCCCGTCCCAGGTTGGCGCCAAGAGAAGTGTGCCCCACACGGGGGTCCCAGTGCCCACCAGCAGCGCCGTGGATGAAGACAGGCGCGTTCACACCACGGAGCACCACAGCCACCCAGCACACAGCGTAGATGCGTCTCTCAAACAGAACGCTGAGCCCGAACTCCAGACAGAGTTTATGCTGTGGGACCACACCTGCCTGAGCTCTCTCAGTGGGTAGAGCGTCGCCGTGGACCAAAGAGTCTCGGGTTTGATTATGGTCAGGGGTATGGGCCTTGGTTGCAGATCGGTCCCCAGGCCTGGTCGGGGTTGTGCAGGAGGCAACTAGCGGGTGTGCCCCTCTCACACAGATGTTTCTCCCTCTCTCCCGCTCCCTCCCACTGTATCTGAAAAAACTCAATGGAAAAATATCCTCAGATAAGGATTAAAAAAAGAAAACGTGTACCAGTCACAGTGATGCATCACCTCCAGCTTGTTAGAGGGGCTGTGAGAGGAGGAGGGAAGCAGAGGTCACTGCAGCGCGCGCGCACACACACACACACGCACACACATGCACACACGGTACACTCACACACGTAAGCATATAGGCACGCTGCGCACACACATGAACACACACATGCACACATGTTGGTACACTTACACATGCATGCACACAGGCACACTGCATGTACACATGTGTGCACACATGTTGGTACACTCACACATGTATGCATAGGCACACTGCACACATATATGTGTGCACTCACACATGTATACATGTGCACGCACACACACACAGTACACTCACACACGTATGCATATAGGCACACCGCGCGCGCACACACACGTATGCACATAGGCACACCGTGCACACACACACACACACACACTCACACATGCACACACGGTACACTCACACACGTATGCACATAGGCACACCGCGCGCGCACACACACGGTACACTCACACACGTATGCACATAGGCACACCATGCGCACACACACACTCTCACACATGCACACACGGTACACTCACACACGTATGCACATAGGCATGCCGCGTGCACACACGCATGCTCTCACACATGCACACACAGTACACTCACACACGTATGCACATAGGCATGCCACGCGCACACACACGCTCTCACACATGCACACACGGTACACTCACACACACATGCACATAGGCACACCACACGCGCACGCATGAACACACACATGCACACATGTTGGTACAGTTACACATGCATGCACACAGGCACACTGCACATACATATGCGTGCACACTCACACGTTGGCACACTCACACATGTATGCACAGGCACACCGCACACATATGTGTGCACTCACACATGTATACATGTGCACACACATGCACACATATTGGTACACTCACACATGTATGCACACAGGCACAGCGCGCGCACACATGCACTCACACACACATGCACACATGCGTGCACGCAGGCACCACAGCCACTTGGTCTCTCTCTGACTATAAAGGCTGCACGTACTCAGCTTGTCCAGCTGCTCCCGCAACGTCTGCATCCACAGGTGGCACAGCTGCTCGTCGGCCCCGCAGAAAGTCACCTGTGCACACTTCCAGCGGTGGCGCCGGGCTCTCTTCACACAGTGCACTGCACGGACAGGAACAAACCCTTAGTTCCCAGCCCTCGGCCTCCAGGAGCCCCTGCAGGAGGACCAGCCACCACGCCCACAGCAGGCTCGCAGCTCCAGATGCCACGGAGCCCGTCCCTGCTGACCGGGAGGACTTCCAAGGTGCACTAGGGAAAGTCTATTTCTCAGTTCCTTTAATCCATGTGAAAAAAGAGCCCTGGCCAGTTGCTCAATGGTTAGAGCATTGGCCCGCAGACCAATTCCGGTCAAGGACACGTACCTCGGTTGCAGTTCATCCCCATCCCTGATCAGGTCGTGCGGGAGGCAACCAATTGATGTGTCTCTCTCACATCGATGTTTCTGTCTCTCCCTCTCCCTCCCTCCCACTCTATCTGATAATAAGTAGAAAAATATCCTCAGGTGAGGAATAAAAAAATAAAAATAAAGGAAAGAACCCTGGCCGGTTTGGCTCAGCAGTTAGAGTGTCGGCCTGCGGACCAGAGAGTCCGGGGTTTGGTTTCCGCTAAGGGCACATACGTTGGTTGCAGTTTGTATCTGGCCCCAGTTGGGGTCGTGTGGGTGGCAACCACTCGATGTGTCGCTCTTACATGGATGTTTCTCTCTCTCTCTATTCCCCCCGCTCTCCCTCCTGCTCTGTCTGAGGATAAATGCAAAAATGTCCTCGAGTGAGGATAAAAAAAATTAATTAATTAAATAAAGGAAAGAAAGGATGCTCAACACCAAAACGTTAATTAAAATCCGATTGAGAAAAACGATACTAGGAGGTCTATGTGAAGATAAACCAAGGAGCCCTGGCCAGTGTGGCTCGGTGGTTAGAGTGTAGGACCGCGCACCAAAGGTTGCAGGTTTGACCCTCACGCCAGGTGCCTGCGGGAGGCAACCAATCTCTCTCTCACGCTCACTCTCTGCCCCCACCCTCCCTCCCTCCCTCCCTCCCACTCTCTCTAAAAGTCCGTGGAAAAATAGCCTCCAGTGAGGATTAACAACAAACAAAAGATAAACCAAGGGAACACTGCATTTGTTAAACAAGTGACCAAAAAGCCCCCTTTCCGGGACCAGAGGAGTTAATGAGGAACTGTGGGCGCAGACTTTCGGGCTCCCATTACCTGTGAAAGCAAAGGGCGTTTCCATTTTCTGCCATTTCCCGCCGCTGTAGTGTTTGCCGCGACTGTCTGTTTCCTCGACGGTGATGATCTCGGACACGGGCACGGAGCAGGCGCCTGCAAGGACAGCGCAGACCCGTGTCAGACGGCCGGACGCCCCGCTGCGGGAACCGTCTGCTCTCACGCTCTTTAGAAGGCCAAAGTCAAGGGGAACGGTACATGTAACTTTAAAATGCAGAGCTAAGTAAACGGGGAAACTCGGTGCCATCAGAAGAGGGGGCGTTTCATCCAACGGTCACCGAAAGCAGGACCAAAGCCTTCCAGTGACCTGCTCAGCCCTTCGGGCAGCACGTGCTGATGTCCAGGCCAGCCGCTCGCTTTGGGGGGCAGGGTCACAGCCAGACCCGGCCCCAGACAACCAGGACCCAGGGCCACAGCGGGGCAGGGGCCAGGGCAGAGCAGGGGCCCTGGAGAGACTGGGGTGGGTCCCGTCAGAGGCAGCGAGAGACGGGAGACTCGGCTGGACCGAGGGTGCAGCCCCGGACATTCTCCACTCCGCAAACCCAGCAAGAGGCTGCCCCACGCTGTCCGGCGTGTTCGGGCCAGGGGTGATCACAGGGCTCAGACCGCCTGCAGGTGAGTCCGTTCCTTTCATTCTTGACGTCATCACCATTCAGGCGGACACGGGCAGGTCTGCACGGGCAGGAATGACCCGGCCCAAGCCCGACGTCCTCGGCCAATGTACCTGCCCTTCCTCAGGGGAGGCTTCAGTCGCCCCGGCCCAACGGGCTTTCTGCTGGTGGTCAAGTGCGCGCCTGGGTCAGAACCCTGGTGAGTGCGTCCCCCCAACTGCAGCAGCAATTTTTCCAGACGACCCAGACTTGTTTGTCCGGAAGGTCAATGTGTCTCCAGCCACCTGGCTTCGCTGCTTTCACGACACGTCTCTCTGCCCTTCCTTCTGCAGCAACAAGGGCTTGGAGGAGGCTCGGAGCGGCAGGCCGGGTCCAGAGGCTGCCTGCTGCCCCCAGCTTTCGCTGGCACGCAGCCACACACCTGCGCTGGCATGCCGCCCTCTGCCGCCCTCTGCTGCCCTCCTGCTACAACTGCAGAGTTGAGTATTCAGGACCCACAAAGCCTAAAATATTTGCGGTCGGGCCCTTTAAGAAAATGCTGCTGACCTAGTTCAGAAGAACAAACAGCAGTTCACCTTGGAATAATCTCAGAACAATGGCAGTTTTTCCGCTACTGCTACATCATGTGACCTGAATAGATGAGCTAGGCAGAACCTGAGGAGATGCTGCAGGGGGTGGGGGGGTTGCCCTGACATCTGCTTTGAGACCCACGAGCCTGTGCCCCTCCCCCACGATGCTCCCCTGCCGGGGTCCGTGGCTCGTCCACATTTTGCTGCCGGCTACATAGGGAATGTTGGGGACACACTTTATAGATACAGCCGTCACCCTGGCTGGTTTAGCTCAGCGGTTAGAGCCTCTGCCCGTGATCCAGAAAGACCCGGGTTCGGTTCCCACTGAGGGCACATACCTCAGCTGAGGTTTGTCCCTGGCCCCAGTTGGGGTTGTGCAGGAAGTGGCCACTCGGTATGTCCCTTTCACATTGACGTTTCTCTCTCTCTCTCTCTCTCTCTCCCCCTCCTACTCTATCCGAACAAAAATGGAAAAATGTTCTCAGGTGAGGAGTAAATAAATAAATAAATAAATACAGCCCTCACCTGCCCAAGGAGCTCACCACCTGGCTTAGGTGTCCCAGGTGGGGGTGGGGGAAGGAGGGGGGCTCCTACTTCTACGGCAGAGCCCGGGCAGTGCCCATACCCCGCCCCACCCCGGGGGCCACACACACTCTCCACTCTAAAAGGTCCGCCTCATCCACCCGAGTGGCTGCACTGCAGGCAGGGGTATCATCCAGATACAGTTCCAGCCTGTTTCAAGTTCAACCAGCGCAACAACACACACTGAAAAGCCTGTCGGGTTTCCTGTTTGCAGTCGGCCCCACTTCCGACCAGGGCGCTGGGGCGCCTCACAGCTTCCTCGGGAGCAGCCTCACTGGGTGCGGAAGGCCCGGCCCCTGCCAGTTCCTTGGGTTCCCCGACTCTCGCTCCCGGACCCCGAGCCACGCTCCCAGCGTGGCGGCCAGAGGACAGAGCACCTGCTGGATTGAGGAACAACTCCCGGCGGGGGGGGGATCTCTAATACTTTCAGCAATAAATAAATTAATAAGTTAAATTAAATTTAAAAAGAACCAGCTCCCTGGAGAGGCAGCTTTCTCCAGACAGACGTGCTGGTGGAGGCCTCTGTTCCTTTGGGGAGCCCTCCCCCCATGACGCCCTGAGGCCCCGCCCCACCCAACTTGCAGGCCCACCCAAGCTGTTCCCAGTGGCTTTACCGTCGGATTGGCCTGTCTTGGCTCCTGCTTCAAAATTGTCCTAAATCCTCTCAAACAAACAGCATCTGAGCTCAGCGAGCCCCATACCTCTCAGTAAGTGGCCCCAGGCCTGGCACTAGAAGCAGCCAGGCCGGGTTCACAGCTTGGCTTTGCCTGGGCACCTCCAAGCCCAGCACAAGAAGTAGCCATCTGCAGATCGCTTTGCAGTTTATCTGCCTCGGGTAGAGCACAGGCCGTGGCTGACCTTGGCCTGCATCTCCTGGGAGGCCCCAGAGCCAGCACACCCAGTGGACAGCCTCAGACCACATCGAAGCTCTGTGCGGCGGGCCCTGCACAGCTGATCCTCCAAGGTGGTCAGAGGTCAGTGGGCACAGCCAGTCCTTGCAGCTGATCAGCCTGAGTAAATCCCTCCCATTGACGTGCCAACAGCAATCAAGACTCAATTACAAGAAGGGTATACAGTCCACACGAGGGGTGCACCTGGAGGACCCAGCCAGGATGATCAGGGAGGCTGTGCCATTGGACCCTACAGGACACCTTCTACAACAGGCCAACCTGAGAAGCCCAGGAGACATAGCAACTCTACCTCATACACAGAAACAATGACAGGGAGGCAGTTAAACAAGGAGACAAAGAAACCCGTCCCAAGTGAAAGGACAAAACAAAACCCAAGGAAAAGAACTAAACAAAATGGAGATAAGCAATCTAACAGATGCAGAGTTCAAAACACTGGTTACAAGGATGCTCAAGGAACTTGGTGAGAATTTCAAGAGCATAAAAAAGGACCAGTCAGAAATGAAGGAGGCACTAACTGAAATAAAGAGTAATTTATAGGGAATCAATAGTAGAGTAGATAAAGCCAAGAAGCAAACCATCGATGTAGAGTATAAGGAAGCAAAAAACACCTAATCAGAACAGCAAAAAGAAAAAAGAATCCAAAAAAATGAGAACAGTGTAAGGAGCCTCTGGGACAACTTCAAACGTGCCAACATTCACATCATGAAGGTGCCAGAAGGAGACAAGAGGGAGCAAGAAATGGAAAACCTATCTGAAAACATAATGACAGAAAACTTCCCTCACTTGCTAAAGGAAACAGACATTCAAGTCCAGGAAGCACAGAGAGTCCCAAACAAGATGAACCCCAAGAGGTCCACACCAAGACACATCAGAATTAAAATGCAAAAGGTTCAAGACAAAGAGAGAATTATTTACCTACAGGGAAGCTCCCATAAGAGTCAGCCAATTTCTCAAAAGAAACTTTGCAGGCCAGGGGGAGTGGTAAGAAATATTCAGAGTGATGAAAAACAAGAACCTACAACCAAGATTACTCTGTCCTGCAAAGCTGTCATTTAGAATCTATGGACATATAAAGAGTCTCCCAGACAAGAAAAAGCTAAAGGAGTTCATCACCACCAAACCAGTATTATATGAAATGTTGATAGGTCTTCTAGAAGATCAAAAATATGGACAATAAAATGGTAATAAATACAGACCTATCAACAATTGAATCTATAAACCAAATTAAGCAGAACAGAAACAGACTCATAGATACAGAGAACTTTTTGTTGGTTGCCAGATGGGAGGGGGCCTGGGGAGATGGGTGTAAAAGGTGAAGGGGTTAAGAAGTACAAACTGGCCCTGGCCGGTTTGGCTCAGCGGTTAGAGCATGGGGGAAGGGGGATTAATGGGGGAAAAAGGGAAGCCCTCTATAATACTTCCAACAATAAAGATAAGTTTATTGATTGATTGATCGATTTTTATTGATTTTTTAGGGAGAGAGAGAGAAACATTGATGTGAGAGAGACATATCCATTGGCCACCTCCCAAAGGCCTCCTACTGGGGATCGAGCCTGAAACCCAGGCATGCGCCCTGAGCGGACACAAACCAGGTCCACGGGATGACACTCAGTCCACTGACCCGCGCTGGCCGGGCAAGATAAGTTTAAAAAAAGAAACAGAACCAGCTCCCTTTGCATATCATGTGCCCCAGGAGCAAGTAACTCACACAGCAACTCACACTTCCAGTTTTCTCGTCAAGAGGAGTGATATTATGGAGAAAAGCAGAGGATCTGATGAAATCACCACCTCACTGGCCACACCCAGCCCAGCACACACAGGGCCCTGGCTCAGATCTCTTCTCTGTCCTTTTAAGGGGGGGCGTCTCTCCCTGGCCAGTTTGGCTCAGCGGTTAGAGTGATGGCCCGAGGACCAAAGACTCGAAAGTTCGATTCCAGTCAAGGGCAGGTACCTGGGTTGCAGTTCAATCGCTGGCCCTGGTCGGGGTCGTGTGAGAAGCAACCAATCGACGTGTCTTTCTCACATCGATGTTTCTCCCTCCCTCCCACTCTGTCCAAAAATAAATGGGAAAATGTCCTAGGGTGAGGATTAAAAAAGAAAAGGGGAGGGTCTCATTTCACCCCTGTTCTGCCCACCTCCCAGAACTCATGGTGGCCCCTGCCTGGCCTCAGGGGGCCTCCTACAGCCTGTTTTTGCACAATCTCCACCCCCCCACCCCCACCGGCCACAGTCTGCCCGCGGGGCACTGCACTCTGCTCACTGAATTCGGTGTCCGGCGGACGGCTGTGTGTCTGCCCTCCTGCCCGTGAGCATGGCATCACCCACCGTGGGCCTGATGCCTTTCGGGGTGCAGAGTTCTGAGGAAACCCAAACAGCTGGCACAGCTGGGCCTCTTCCTCGGGATGGAGAGCAGGGTGGGTGAGCAGAGGCTGTTCCCTGAGGAAGTGGGCCAGTCCGGGGCCCAGCCTGGCAGCGGGGTGCTCATGCACAAAAGCCAGGGTTTATGAGCGGGGCGGATGGACGCAGCGGCGGCCCAGTGGGCAGCTTGCAAATGCAAGCAGACATCGTGGACGCTGCCACCGCACAGAAGCCAGGATCCAGTGACCTGGAGCTGCAACAGCCGGCCAAGGGTGCCAATGCAGCAGGCAGTGAGCGGCCTCCCGCCCAGACGTCCCACACGGAGCAGTGGGCTCCCGGGCCACAAGCACGGCTGCTGGACTTAGACCCATCGAGCCTCCAGGTTCAACCCTACTTGGGCCAGTTACTTAAACTCTACAGCCGTCCCTTCATCTGCAAACGAGAGGAGGCCTGTCCCGCTGGAGCCCACCAGGGCTGGCACAGCGTGACCGTCGAACAGAACGAGAAAAGCAGTGGCTGGTCCTCCTCAAGCCCAGAACCCACGAGGAAGCTCCAAAGCCCACGGAGTGGGCCAGGCTCCCTTCACTTCAGCATCACAGAGCAAGAACTAGACATAGGGGCCTGGTGGGGTTGCCGGGAGGCTGAAGGTTGACATCCCAGGGTGACATTTCTCCCCAAGGGGACATGGGAAAGACCCTACTGGAGTAAACTCTCAGACACCCCGCCACAGATAAGGCAGACAAGGCTTTTGGTGACTCCAAGGCCAGAAACCGAATGTGGGTCATGAGTCCAAGGCCACCCTTGACCTTAGCCCAACCTAACATTCCAACCGGCCCCACCTGCGAGCTACAAAACCTCAGCGTCACACATGCCTCCAGCACCCGTCACACCACCCCAACTGCCCCAAGGTGTCCAGAGGCATGCCAAATCCTGACCTCCACCACCCCAATCCAATAACTGAAACAGTACATCCCTGCTCCTCCCGCAGTGACTTCAGTGGGCCACAGATCAGGGCCACGTTCCCCTCACTCGGCGTCTTCAGTCCACGCAGACCTGGCCCTGCTCACCATCACTCCTGCCTGGACCAGGCCAACCGCCTCCTGACCGCCTTTCCTGGCCCGCTTCTGTCCACTGTCCCCACTGGGGCCACAGCGGTCCTTTAAGAATGTGAAACTGGATGAAGTCATTCAGCGACGTCCATGGCACCCACGGTAAAAAGCCAAGTCCCCATCCCAGCCCCTTCCAAAGGCCCCACTTCCCCTCCCCCACCTCCCTCCCTGCCCACACATCCATGTCGGCCTCCTGGCTGGTCTCAGGGCCTTTGCATTTGCTATTCCTCCTGCCTGGACCATGTCTCCCCGAAACGCACAGGTCTCTGGTCAATGCCACCAGGTAAGTGAGGGCTGCTGGGACCACCTGTCCCACAGTGACCTGCCCAGCCTTTGGGCCTCCTCGGCAGACACACATGCCTGTGTGCGCCCCTGTGTTTGTCCCTTCGGTGGAAAAGGCTGCGCTGGGCTGGGACTCGGTCTTATGCACTGAGCTGGATACTGCCGGGCCCTACCCAACCGCCTTGCGTAACAACTTGGGGAAGATGAATGAATGAAACGGAACACACCCACATTTGTGCCTGGCCTCCCACTTCTCACCATCCACACCTGGCCTCTGGAACCCCCTCCTTCCCAGGATCCAGGACAGCTCCGGGATAAACTCTGCCCAGCCCTCTGCAGCCAGCCCGCCGCGGCTCGAGAGACGCTGCCTTTGTCCTTGCCCACCCATCCACCCCGTCCCCCAGGCCGCTGCCTGCCTTCCTTTTTCATCTAAGTTACACGTCTCTGATTCCGGAGGGCCCTGGAGACCATGTGTCCAGCCTGTCACGGGAATGACCCCATCCCCCAGCACACGGGACAGAGGTCATGACCCTTCCTGCACTTCTCACCCTTACCTGCCAGGCTCTCTCTCCGCTTTGGGTCCCCTGTTAAGAGAAGCCTCTGTCCTGGGGTTAAACTAAAAAACAAAGCTGGTAGGTGGCCCCTGGGGATCCTTTCATCAGCCGAGTCCTGGCGGCGCCCTTCAGGTACCCGTGGGGCATTCCAAGGGATGCGGCTGCCAGGGACACCTCTGGCCCCAGACCTCCGGATGGCCACGACCCCTCGCCCCTCGCCCTCCCGGGTACAGCCCCCTGCCCTCCCCGCTGGCACGCACGCCCTGCTCGCTCTTTGTCCCCCAGTCCCCCGAGTGCATCTCATCCGGTCCCCGGAGTGAACACACTCTCCGCGCCCCGCCAGCGGCCTCCCCGCCCCCCTCCGGCCCCCACTCGCTCCTCCACCCCTCCTCCCGGGCCCTCTTCCCGGCCCCGTCCTCCCTCCCCGCCCGCCCGCCCCGGTGGCCCCGCAGAGCGGCCGGCCGGCGGCGACACTCACCCGCGCCGGGGACGCTGGCTCCGGGCCCCGGGCTGGGCCACCAGCGGAGCAGCGCCCGCGCGGGGTCCAGGCTCACGGCGCAGCGCTGCCGCTTCACCCACAGCACCGAGCGCAGCGGCTCGGCCGCCCCCATCGCGCCGGCCCCGCGGCGCCGCCTGGGCCGGGCGGGGGCGACGGGCGGGGGCGCGGACGCCGAGGGGCGCGGGACCGTTAGCGGCCCCTGGAGCCCGGCCGGGTGGCGGCGGCGGCGGCGCGGGGCGGGCGGGGCGCGGGGCGCGGGGCGGGCGGCGCTGCGTCACCCCGTACGCACAGCGGCCGCGGGGCCGAGAGGGCGGGGGGGGCCGAGGAGGGGGGCGGGGGCGGGGGGCCCGAGGGCGGGGGGCGGGTCGGAGAGGGGGCGCGGGCGCCGGGCGGGGATCGCGGGTGGGGGGCGCAGCGGGGAGCGGGGTCTGGGCGGGCTCGCGCCCGGAGAGCTCGGGCTCGGGGCGGCGCTCTCCTCGGAGCGGGTGTGGGTCCGGCTGCAGCGGGCAGGACGGGAGCTCAGCAGCGCCTCCCTGGCAGGTCGTAATGACGGACGGGTCCCCCCGCGGCGCAGATATGCTGCCGGGCAGCCGCGCGGAGGCGGCGGGAGGCAGGGGCTCGGGCGGGCCTGGCCTGGGGGTGGGCGCCAGGGGCCCACGCCAGTCCGGATGCAGCGGCCACAGGCGGCACGTGACTTTGAGCATCAGTCTCTCTTGGATCCCCTTTTCCTCCCCGACGGGCTAATGAGCTGGAAGGCCAGGGCGGCCACCAAGAGGTGTGGGCCCCACAAGACCCAGCGTGGGACTGGCGACCTTGTCCTCTGCTTATAGGCCCATCCGGAGGACCAGCTGGGGAGGCAGGTGCTGTGCACCCGCACTCCTCATGGGAAGGCTTCCAGCGCTGGGGATGCGGCAGGGAGGGGTGGAGCTCGCCTTTGAACCAGGCAGTCTGGGTCCGGGGGTCCCATGTGCCTGCACACTCAGGCCGAGGATAGATTCTCCGGGAGGAAGCATGTCCTTGTCACCGGTGGCAGAGGTGTGCCCCAGAGTCCTGCCAGGCTCAGGCACCCCTGACTGCCCATTGTAGTACTCTGTGTGTCCCCGCCTGGGCTGGGGGCTGCAGAGAGCAGCTAGGGGTCCCCTGGCCCCTGCAGTTCCTGCCTCAGGTGCTCACGTCAGCCTGCAAGGGGGGATGCTGGAGTATGAGCTGTCTTGGGGAGCAGCAGAGCTAAAGGACCCTGCAGGCTGGCGGGGAGGGGAGGCTGGCTGGAGAAGGAGGTCTTCCTCCTAGGGCCCTGGGAGAAGAATGGCGTGAGGGGGTGGGGTGTAAGACAGCTGAGCCCCACTCCCCTCCTGAGCAGATCCAAGGAGAGGGAGCTGCTGTTCTGAGTCCAGATTCAACCCTCCCCTCTTTGCAGCAGGGGGTCTTCCCTGACCACCCCGCTGAGCTGGTCCCTGCACTGCACCCATCCCTCTGGGCTCCAGCCCGCCCTCCTCAGCTCCAAGAGGGCGGGACATCTTCCCCAGAAACAGCCCGGGCCGTAGTGCGCTCAGAGATCTTTGTTCCACAGGTGCACCTGTCCTAGGATTTATCAATGAAGAAAACTGTGCTCGGAGTAGGTGAGGTCTCTACCTAAAGGCACAATGCTCAGAAAGGACAGAGGTCTGGCTCCCAGAGCCCCAGCTACCTGCCTCCCATCGGCTCTCCATGCCAGCCCAGCTTCTCCTTGGCTCCTCCCCCAGGAGCCCTCCCTGCAGGTGACAGAAGGCGAGCCAGTGGCCTGGCCCCTGTGCCTGGCACAGGTTGCCACATGCACAGTCTTATCCTGCCAGCGCCCTGTGATTCACTCTTCCCGGGGAGCCCAGCCCAGCTTCGGGCCTGGTGCAGAGCCAGGGGCAGAGCAAGGAGGGCGGAAGGTGGGCTGTGCGTCCAGCCCCGCCCTGGGGCCAGGCCTACCTGATCTCCCCGCGGGCTCCTCCCTCCCACGCTGCTCTCTGAGGCTCAGAAATGTGGATCTGAAACTTCTCGGGAGGCCAGTGCTGCATGAAGAAGGGGGGCAGGAGAGGGCTGGTGGGCAGGGGCTCGAAACTCCAGCCGCCCAGGCCTGTTCTGGGGCTTCCTCGAGCCAGGCCCCTTTGCCCCTACTGGGGTATTCATTTAGAGACCCTTAACGCCCTAGGTCAGCTCATACCATCCTGCAGTCTGAGTCAGGGGCCCAGAGAGGACCCTCAACTATAAAACACTGGGGGAGTCCTGAGGCAGGACCCCCACCCTTCTTCACTCAGTCAACTCCAAGTTCATAGGCCGGGCCAGGGGCTCTCGGGGGCTATTGTGGGCTGAACTGTCTTCCCCTAAAATTCATATGTTGTAACTCACCCCCAGGACCTCAGAATGTGACTGTGTTTGGAGACAGGGCCTTCAGACAAGTGATTAAGAGAAAATGAGGTCGTAGGGGTGGATCCTAATCCGATCTGACTGGGGTCCTGAGAAGAGGAAATTCGGACACGCAGTGACCAGGGGCACCCACGCACAGAGGGACGGCGTATGCAGAGAAAGCCGGAGGTCAGCAGTCTACAAACCAAGGAGAGGCCTCAGAGGAAACCGAACCTGCTATCACCTTGACCTTGGACTTCCAGCCTGTGTGAACTGGAACCATGAGGAAACAATTAACAGTTCAAATACCACCCAGGCCCGGCCAGTGTGGCTCAGTGGATGGAGCATGGTCCCATGGACTGAGAGGTCCCAATTCGATTCCCTGTCAGGACACATGCCCGGGTTGCAGGCTCGATCCCCAGTAGGGGGCGTGCAGGAGGCAGCAATCAATGTTTCTCACATCGATGCTTCTCTCTCCCTCCCTTCCTCTCTCTAGAAAAATCAATAAAAACACATTAAAAGAAAAGAAATACTACCCAGTCCATGCTATTTTGCAATGTTAGCAAAGTAATACAGTGCCTCCCACCCTGGGGGGCTGTAATTCTGGGCTCGGTTGGGAGGGTCTTGGCCAGTGCAAAACCCCACACTTCTTCCCAGGGGAGAAGGTAATGAAATGAAGGCCAAGTTCTCAGAAGACGCGTTTCCTGCTGTTGAGTTGGGTGGGGAGAGGGCTGGGCAGGGGTCAGGCCCCCGACTCAGCACAGCACGGGGTGGTGGAAGGGAAGAGGCAGCCCTAAGGCAGCTGCCAGGCCCTGCTGTGAAGGCATCCGACAGAACAGTCAACGTGAGACCCCAAAAGGCCACAGCGCCCCAGCTCCCCTGATGGTCCCAGCCACCTGGCTCACCCCTGCCCTGGCATGACACCTTTCCCATGCTCAGCTGCCCCCACCCCACCCCCTCCCTTCATGCCCTGGAGGCCTCGGCGGCTCTCGTGTGGGGATCACCCTGTGAGGCCCCCCGCCGAGCTGCCATGCATGGTCTCAGCCGCCACACGTTACAGAATGTGCTGGCGCCCCCACCTGCCACTGCCTGCTGAGTGCACAGCTGGCCCTGTGCGCCGCAGGCGCTGGACATGGCCTGGCTGCCAGCTCGGCCGGAGATCAGGGGCTCAGCCCGCAGCTGGGAGCCACCTGCCACCTGCCCCTGTCCAGTCCGCAGCTTGGGCTGTGGCCAGGTCTGGCCAGCTTGTCTAAGCCACACATCCTGCCTGGTAGCGGCCAGCACCCATTGCCTGTCCAGATGGACTCACACGTGGGCTGCCTGGCCCCTGGGCCTGTCTAGGCACATGGCATTACCTCCCTCGAGGTCATCCATGCCAGAGGCCTGCTGGCCCCTCCTGCCCAGAGCCCTGGCCACCAGCAGGGAGTGGGTACCAGCACACCGTCTAGCTCCATCCCCTCCGTGGCCTCTGACCTACTTTCCCTCTGTCCCAGGAGGCCCTGGCCTTGTTTGTGGCAACAGCAGGCTGCATATCTGCCCAGGCTTCCTCCCCGTGCAGTCGGCCACAGGACTGGACACCAGGACACCGCTGGGTGGGGTGGGAGGGCACCTGTGCCAGCCGCACGCGCTGGCTGCCAGGGATGCTGCCCTCCGCCCTCCGCCCTCCCCTCTGGAGGAGGAGCCTTCGGGCTGCCACCCGTCAAGGCTGACTACCTGGAAGAAGTGTCCTGGGCCCAGAGAGGCGCAGACATTTGGGGAGTAAGCTGAAGATTAGCAAAGTGCTCCTCTGACAGCCATCGCTGGACATGGGGCATCTACCCCACTCACAGATGGAAAGACTGAGGCCCAGGAAAGTAACCTGACCTGCTCGTGTTATACAGACAGGTCATTAGATGGGTGGGCACTCCCACATCACACCGGTGTGGGAGAGTCTGAAGTGTGAGAACGGAAGCCACGCCAGCTGTGGCCTGTGCCCTCGGCGGGCACTGCCCCTGGGCACTCTGGCGGGGCCTGTCTGTTCCACCCTCTGGCACACAGGACTGTCCTGCCTGGCCTGCTCTTGCCCCCACCCAGACTCAACGCCCAGGGCAAGCCCAAGTGTGGCTGCGGTGGAGGGTGGCCCTGGGGATGGTGGCCAGATGGCGGGTCTGAGCCGGAAGGGCCAGTGCGGTGGGGTTAGCTGAAAATAATTCCACAGGGGGCCAGGGACCAGGGCTGCAGCACACCTGGGAGCCGTGGGGAGCGCCACACCCAGGGGAAGGCCCAAAGGCCATGTCTGGGCTGGGTCTGGACACTGTGGGCTCCCGTCAGGTGACTGTCCCCGTACTCAGCACCAGCTCATTTCGGCCCTCAGGGTGATTCTCTGCAGGTGGAGGAGCAGTCCGGAGAGCTTCGGGACCTGGGCCAGGGTGACCTGCGGGTGCAGTGCAGGGTGTGGACTCTGAGGCTTCCTCCCCACCTGGCCGCCCTGTGGGCACCATTCTGGGTCCCCTCTCGGCCGGGGAGCAGGCCAGTCTGCTGTCCGTGGGGCTCTGGCTCAGCGGCAGACGCTCGTGGGGAAAGGCCAGCTCCTGTCGGGTGAACTCGGGGCAGCTCTGGGTGCAGGGGAGACCCCCTCCGCATCCGCGCAGCAGGAGTAAGCTGGGCAGCGGGGTGGGAGGCCAGAGCTGTGGGCTTTGTTAGAAGCAGAGAGCGCTAAGGCAGGCTGTGGGGGGCCTGCCAAGGTCCTTCCTCATGCGA